GCTCGTTCATCACGAGCATGTACATTTAACACCCACAATAATATTTTAGCACCAGGGTAAATGCTTAAATTACTTATATTATTTGGGTCAAAATTGGTCATATCACTATCCAAATATTGATAAAAATCATGGAAATCTTTTTTACAGAATGATGTATGATTTAAATTATCAAATTTAAGGTAAGGATCAACAAGTACACGTTTGGCTAAGGCTGTTTGATGTGCAGTAGCAGTAGGTGGACCTGCAGTCAAAGTTGCAAACAATGAAAACGCTTTAGAACGAACTGTCAATAATAAATCTTGAAATTTAGATAGAATAACAGCCACAATAAATTCATGTTTGGTTGCTGGCATAAGTTGCAATAGAGTTGGGTCTTCAGGTTCAACTTCTTCAGGTTCTGAAAGTAATTTGAAAAGAGTCTCCAATGCAACAATACGTATTTTAACATCTACATCATATACCATACGTAACAAATAATATTTAATTTTAATTCGAACATTATTTGGACATAATCTCCAAACCTCTAATATAATTTGAAATTGGCGAGGCCTTAATTCACTACGTTCAGGTCCTCGATGTAATAAATGTTGCAATAGTATTTCTAATACATGCTCAAATGGAGATCCCAATTTTCTAGTTATTTTTCGAATAAAAGACAAATGATGATCACGAATTGTATTAAATTGCCTCGTAGTCAATTGCATTTCACGCTGTCCGTCAACTAATAAACCTAATAACATACAATGCATAAGTTTTTGGCCTATAACAGTTGTTGATCCACAGTTTTCATTAAACATATCTGTTAAACCTGAATATGCATTGAATGCTAATGTTCCATAACTTAAGTTTTCAGTAGGCACTTGCTCTAAAATATTGCCAGAATTTCGTTCCAAATGGGTTACATCTATCATTATATCTATAATCATATCTAAAGAGCTAATTTCATCAAAGAATTGAAATCGTTTGACCATTATTCCTATGGTTCTCACAATAGCCAATAAATCAACCATTAAATCAATCTTTTCATCCTCTTCTAATGGTACATCATCACCACTATTTATACCTCCGGTAATATGTAACATAGCAATACAAGACTTAACTAATTCTGTGCATTTCGTAAGTATAGTAATATGATAAAATCCAATATTCTTACTACCCATAAATGTAGATGCTAATAAAAATAATCGTGTAGCAGACAAACCATTTTTTCTAGCACTAGGTTCATTTATAAATTTTAATCCATATTGAATGTAACAATTGAGTAAACAACTCAATGGTTTTGGATGAACATAGCATGTATCATCACTAAAAAACTGATCCCATAATATATGAGTAGATGGTTGTTGTAAGTAAACATTTAATAACTCACAAGAATCATTTATAATTGATGGAAAATCAATTTCTGGCATGACAATAGATTCATATGATTCGGGAAATTTGTAATAACTATAATGGCTACTCATAACTTGATCTACATAATCTTGGGATATGACACCTAATTGAAGGCCAGTCAATATGTCAACTACATCACTCACATCAGTTACTTCTGGAGCTTCTGAAATAAAAAAATGTAAGTCATTTATAAGAGTTATGAACTTAATATACATCTCAATAAGTATTAAATAAAGTAAAACAACAATGTGTTGCAGTTTTAACAATAAAAAAGTGGGTAAGTATAACAATGTATGTTGTAAAATTAAATAAGAAATAATTATTGTTAGGTTATGTAAATTTAAAGGTGGTAAAAGATCATGGAACAAGCTTAAGAAAAAAACGTAATGGCTGATACACTCTTATAAAAATCCCTACATAAAAGCACAAAAAAATGCCAAATAGAATTGTATTATAATGTATTTTATAAATACAATATATAAGTATACTTGAACATGTTAAAATAACCATTATAACATAATTTATTGACAAAAGGTAAAAATTACTAAACAATAATTGTTTTTTTGAATATAGCAAAGATAAATAATAAAATGTTCAATGTGCATACTTCTTGATAATCAACTAAACAAAATATTGCAAGTAATATTTTACTTTAAAAAAAATTAAATAAGAACATTATATTTTAATTTAAATATTACTAATAGTGATACATTAAAAAATGTTAAAATGTACTGTTTAAAATTTCAAAATTTGCTTGAATGAAATCTGATGAAAATGAATGTCAAGTAAATACATATTTTTTAAACATTTCAATTATACAATTAAAAATGTACTAACATAATAGTGTCTTAAACATATAAAGTATAAATATAGCTTTAAAAAAATGTAATTAAACGATTTAGATCAGGGGTTACTAATTATTATTTTTGAAGGGCCACATTATGGCTTTCAAAATTCTAAGAGCATATTTTTAATACAATATAGTAAATATTATTTTAAAATTGGATGTAATGAGGACATTATTTTTTATTTTTTATTATTACTCACTATAGTTTACAAACATTAAGAACATAATTAATATTACATATATTTGAAAAAATTTTAAATAAAAATAAATACAATAACACAAATAATTTTTTGGTAATATGTTATTTATTCTATGTCTACAGGCAGGATAAAATTTGTTCGCAGGCCACCATTTACTGATCCCTGATTTAGATCATGAAAAATGGATAATGTTTAGACGTAAAAATCTTAATTTTGTAAAAAAATGTATTTTACACTAATTAAGTTTTAGTAAATACATATTTATTGGTTAACTAATTAGATGCAAACATGCAGTATATATCATAATATTCCTCTAAAGAACTCTTATCTTTGTTGTAGAAGTTTGATGGTATATTATAAATTTTAAAATGTACCAAATAGATAAACCAATGAATATTTTGTATTTTTGACATTCGAGTTCACAAGCATTTAATAAATATTTACTATGCATAAATCATAAAGAATTGGTGATCCTAGTCTTATGAAAGTAAGAGAATTATTTAAAATATCATATAGCAAAACATTTACTTACCGGTCAATAAAGAAGACATTTTTTGGCGTGTTTTCTTTCAATGAACTGCTTAATAATACATTAATAAAGGTATTCGTGAGTTTATGCTTAATAGTTAAACTAAAACACCGGTATTAACATTAATTTAAAAATTAATAAATAAATTAACGTTAAAGAGATAGTAATGTTTATATTTTAATAACACTTTATTCTTGTAGTCTTATTTTGTTGATGTTGAAACAGTGATAAAATTGATATCACCTGGCGTTTTCCTTTAGGATCATGTTGATGATCATCAACAGGCTTCAAATTAGCAATCATAAATAATTATTGTAATCGTAGTACTGAGTATAAAAACATCGACTATTATAATAACAAAACATTTACACAAAATAATTAAATCGTAATGATTAACAATGGTACTTGCCACTTGGCGAGCGGGAATTTTAAGCGTCCCATAGCCATATTATGACAAAAACGGTTAAAAATGTTAAAATGATAATAACAAAATGCGTTTATTCCGTGATAATGAACGAAGTGCTCCACGATTTTGGAACATTTCGTCAATCGTTACTCGTCAAATTTTCATACGAATTTGAAACTGCTTCCATTCCAAATCCAAGTAATATTCAAGTATATCATGTCCATAGTTCATACCCATTTTTAATTCTTCAAATCCGGGAAATTAAATTATTATACCACCAAAAAATCAGTTTGTAAAAACGCCAACACGAGTCACAACCCCATGACTATGGTGATAATAAATAATAACATTGATTATAAATTTATAATTTATGAATAATATTCGAATATTCAGTCATTTTAAAAATTTTAAAACTTACAAGTTAAAATATGTTTATCTCATGATTATGATTTATGACGTATCAAAATTGTAATTTTAATGAGTAGGTAATGTTCAAGTTACTTAATTTTATGAACTAATAAATACATAAAATAAGTATAGATTCATGTTATGAATTTGAAAAATAAAATTATGAATATTACGGAAATTAATAACTTTAGTAATTAATAAATCTATCAACTAATTCAATTATCATGAATAATTTATTGAAGACCTAAATATAATTAATATTAGATCAGATTTTACATCTATTTTATATACCAAGACGTATGATAAAGTTTATTTTTTGGTGATAGGAAGTAATGTTCATTTTTTTTTTACTTTTCTATTTGAACAATAAAAATAACTTATTAGTTATTACCTTACCCTTTTAATTTACAATAAGAAATTATTATTTTTAGATTGGTAATGTATAAAACAAAAGTATTGCAAATTTGCCAAATTTCAAAACAAACATAGTAAAATATTTTTACTTACCATTATCCTAAAATAATAAAAAATTAAAATATTATGAATTCTTTTTTTGAAGGTACAACCATCAAACTCTTGATGAATTAATATTATATTTCAATTAATTTCTTAAAAACACCATGTATACTAATATAAAAAAGAAACAATTTACATACTTCTATAACAAACCAATGGGCATGAGTACAATTTTGATGAAAACACTGAAAGTACCCATGTCTCATTTATCCCTTTAGTTTGGTAATCATGGATTGGGCCATGAGCTATTTACTTTGCCAGTCACCATCCATTAAATCATTTAACAATCATAAATTAAAAATGGTTTTATTACTATTTATGACTAAATAACTTATAAGCTACATTATTTAGCCATGGTACTACATATTAATGTATTAACATAAAATAAGAACTGTAATTAACCATAAGGTCCATAAATTACATTAGTTATGAGAGGGCTTATTTAAAAACTGGGGGTGCTGGCACATCCAATTCGCTCTCCAAACATCTAAGCTAATAAATATAAAATGTTTTATAATAATAAAAAAATTAATATTTAACAATCTAAATAAGCTTTTACTTTCGACTAGGATATGTGAAACCTTTAGACTAAAATAGGAAACTAAATATTCTAAATAAGCATTATCAAAAGAAAAAGTATATAAACATTGATTTTATTAATTAAAATAATGTTTTTATAATTACATAATACACATTTCCTATGTATAAATATAACAATATATGTGTAATACATTTTAAAAATCACAACCTCTTGAATATTTTAAATTCATATTTAATACCATGTTCTTCTTGAATTCCTTTAGGTACATCAGCTTCATTTATTTCTTCAAATTCTTTAAGATTAAAATCGGGAAAAAATGTATCACACAAGTATTCTTGATCAATTTTTGTAATATATAATTTCTTACAATTATTGTCATTAATAGCTTCATTGTATAAACCTGAACCACCAATTACCCAAATTTTTGCAATATGATCATTTAAATATAATGATTTTAAAGCTTCTTTTAGATTTGAATACAGTAAAACACCTTCTGGTACACTGTTTAAAGTTTTAGAAATTACTACATTTTTACGTCCTTTGAGTGGTTTATATTTCTCTGGAATTGATTGCCAAGTACAACGACCCATAATGACTGCATTTTGAATGCCTGATTGATTCACCTGAGTAGTCATTTGATTGAAATATTCCATTTCCTTTTTAAGTCTCCATGGTAGATCACCCTTGTAGCCAATACCTCCATTCTTTGAAACAGCAGCTATGACATTGTAATTCATATTATCCACTGAATTCAAATCAATAACAAAACCAAAAGTATATATAAAAATAAAAAAATTACAAAGTAGATTTTAATTACAGTAAAATTTTGATTTTTGAGATAGGAATAACGATTGTACTGATAGTAGTTAAGCGTTTTTACAAACTATTATCAATTGTCTGTTATAATGATAAAGTATTCACTATTATCGTGATGTAAATTGTAATTTGTAATACATCACAATCTATTAATATCAATAATATCCATCACAAACTAATTATTAATTAATTAAAAATAAAAGATTAAATATGAATTTAAGAGTACTTTTTCCTGAACTATACGAATTGAAATATATTATGTTAAATAAATCATGATTTTTATTTCTGTAAGTAAATGTTGTGTAAATTTTATTGTCTTTTTAATGAAAAATAAAAATATTTAAAACTTTGTTACTTGATATAGTAAAAAACATGTTTTCAATAAATTGTGTTATTTTATTAATAGTGTATAATAAAATAAAATACATAATAATTCATTATTTTTAAGTAAATTATGACTTTGAATAAAATAATCATTGAGTTAAAGAAAAAAAAAATTTTTACAGCTAGGAAAATATTGCTCTTAAATTCACAGGTACTTAACAATGTTTTATTTGTATCACAGCTTTCTTTCTGTCAATTTTGATTTTAGAATATAAGTTGATATACCAAAATGGCTTGTAAATAATCAATTAATTCGAATATGATATTTAAAATAAGGGTTACTATTTAAAAAAAATAAAGGTGTGTTGTGTGTGCGTAATATACAAGAGTTAAAAAAATTGTGAATTAAAGGAATTAATCATCCTATAGTTAAATTTAATGTCCAGCAAACAGAATTAAAAAATAAATACGGTGTACTAGGTTATAAAGTGAACTTGTTTCCGAGGACACACGGTATATAAATAAATAATAATAATTTATAACTTATTATTGAAAAGCAAACATGAGAAATTATTTTCTATTCAATATTATCTATAATCATAGTATTGTACTAAAAAGTACAAATTAGATGACTTAGTAATGACATTTCGTTGTTATTATTTTTTTTATAGATTTACTCTTAATTTGTGATAAATACAGTGTTTACAAATAATAAGTTTAAAGAAACATGTTCATTTAATTTTGATTATTTTGTATTCAATATACCTAATGTCTTATAACTTGTGATTTATTAATTTACTAATTTTATCATTATTTATTTTCATTGTGTAAATTTCTAATGAGAAGTTGAAATACAACTTATACGAAAGTTAAGCAAATAGAATGACAGACAAATAAGAATATATTTTTTTATAAATATATTTGAAGTATTTTAAAGTTAAAAAAACTACTTTATAGTAATATTCAATTTGTTTGACTTCTATTAAATTGAAAATATTGTTGTTTAGGGGAAACCTGAGAAAAAAATGATTTTAAATGTCAAGCATTTTATGTAATTATTCATGTAAATTTTAAAACGCAATACATTCATAAAATTAGATATGTTTATAAATTATAATAAACCAATATAGTTTAGTTATAAATTATAATGTACTGTATAATAAAATTACAACTATGTCAAATATTATTTCTGTAATTATTTATTTACAAATAAATATAAATAGAGTATAATTATCTACATAATTATATTAATTAAAAAAAGACCGAAACAATAAAGTATATACAAAACATAATAATTTATATAAAAATCGTTGGAGATTTTTCTTTTTTATCAATAACTTAATTCTAAAATTAATATACACATAGGTTAGAGAAGAATATGTTTATATGTATATAATTATTATGGAATAAAGTTTATACAAAATTGATAACAAAAAAATAAAATATGTTCTAAAGAACTTGTCATATCAATTTATCATGAATTCACAAGTTTTTATATTATAGTATAGTTTATTTGTAAAATGAAAAATCTGCCAGTTGAGCTATCTTAAAATTATGGAAAATTTTATTTTTACACTGTAAAATTAAATTATGTTTTGAACACTTACGAAATACAATTACATCAAAATTGTATTAATACAACTACCAACAATGTGTGATCACCTTAAAATGTTACGATTGTCTATTATTTTTAAACAAAAAAAACAGACGTCCATTAATTATTTAGAATTAAAACGCTTCAAATAAAATATATTCAATAAATATAAGTATAAATAAGGGAAGTGTCCTACAAATTAAAACCAAATAATTCATTCTTTGAATAGTTTAAAAACCTTTGTTTTAGCTAATAAAATAGTCCTAAATTTTCATTTACTTCATTTAGATTCTATATAAAATCTTAAAATCTAACAAAAGTGAAAATTGAGATCTTTTTTTTTGACTAATTGTCAAATATATTAAATGTACTTAGAGCTAAAAACTGAATATTGACTAAAAGTTTAAGTAAAAAAAAAAAATTAAAATTTGGAAAAAATAGAAGAATAAATTTTTATCCATTACAAGCTTTTTATAGAACCTTTTTGTCATGTTGTCAAAAAAAATAAAACAATCACAGTTAAAAAAACAACCCAAGGCTTAGAATAACGTAAACTTTAAAAAAAAAAAAATATGGTAATATTATAACAAGTATAAAAAAAATTGTTCGATTTTAATGTAAAAGGTTAACAAATAGTTAAAAAAAAAAAAAACTTTACATAATATTTTGCATATTGCACATTAACATGAAAATTTCTTATCTTAAACTAGATAACAAAATTAAAATTAATTGACATCTGCTGACCTTAACATGATAATATCAATAACTTGGAGTATTCATAGAACATTTGTTTGTATTATTAGTTCAATTAATAACAAATTGAGGAAAACAACATTTTAATATTATAAATATACATTTTAAATTAATTAAATTTTTTTAAATAAATAAATATCAATGTACAAACTTAAATTAAATAAATAAATTACATCTTATTAAATTTTTATACAAAACGCTTATTAATGATAAGATTGATCTAAAATTATAAGAATTTTTACCGTCACCGAACTTCACAGTTGTTATTTAATGAAGTATCAGGATTAGTTTGGTTACTTGGAGGTTTCATAACATATCCTTCTTTACATCTAGATATTTTCAGTTTAATGGGAGAAGCTTTTTTCGGTTCTGTTACTGCACTGACTGCAGCTTCATCAGGCGCTGCTTTTGAGAATCTAATAATCAATTTAGGAGTGCTTTCTTTGGCCTCTATTACCTGAACTTGAGATATCTCTTTATTTGTGCGTGGTTTCTTTTTCCTAGATACTGATGGACTAGACCGACGTTTCTTTTTATTCTTTGTAGCAGGAGTTAAAGGAATTGAAGTGGATGCTAATGCATCTTCTTCAAAACGAGCAAATACTTTCTTTCTGAATTTCATGCTGTCTCGCCGTAATTGTTCCATAGTAGGTGCTATCAAATGATTAGTCTCATCATTTTGAGTGTCACAAATTCTCTTTTTAGGTGGACGAAGACTACGTTTTTCTTCCATTGTTGTAACCATGGGTTGTTCACCACCAATTTTGATTTTTATCTTTGGTGTAGTAGCTTCTTTACGAATATTGTTAAAATAATTGGATTTTGGATCATCAGACCCATATTTAGTGCGCTTCTTTTCCATATTAGCATCTACTACTGCTTTGTAGTCTTCTTTAGTAGGAATTGTAGTCATCGATGCAACTGCTTTTGGTATTGTAATAATATTTCGACTTAGTGGAGGGACTATAGGATGGTTTGTTGTCTGTTCTATATTATCTTGTTGGTTACAATATTGCCGAAGCAATTCCTTTTTCCTCATTTGTCTGAAATTGGAGGGTACACTAGCAGCTTCTGAAGGAGGAACTGAATGACTTGGTATATTCATACTTATAGCCGATGTATCAATTGTTGGTAATATTGGTTGATTTTGAACATTATTGTATTTAGCATTTAAGAAAGGACCTTTTATTTTAACTTTTAATTGATTCCTAGATTCGCTTTGTAATACTGTACTCGAGGCTACCGGTTCTTTTTCTATAGGAGGTGGTAGTTTGACTATTTTGATTTGGTCATCCATTGAAATTAATTGATCTTCTATATCTTTATCTTTGGAAGATAATTTTGATAAGTTCTGTAAGTCTTCTTTTAAGGTATTTACAATATCAGTTACTTTATCATCTGCATTAGTATTAGCATCATAAATGTTATCAGAATATGATGTTGTATTGTCATATGAATTATACGTTCTCATATCTACTGGTCCTGGTATCATAGGAGTCAGTTCATTTATTAATATTTGAGCTGGTTGATCTTCAATAGTAGTTTCAATAATAGGAGAAGGGGGTTTAAGTTCTTTTATACTTGCATGTTTTCTTCTGTAGTTATTAGGACTGCTATGGACTTTAGGAGACACAGGCGATTTACTATCCGCTTTAACATCAGATTTTTTACGTTCACGCATTGCTCGGAGATTTTCCATAACACCATTATTATCATTGCCAAATTCTTCGACAAAATCAAGATCATAGGCAGTACCAGCAAGTTTACTAACAGCAGGGTTATAATCAGTAAAATGATTTGATGAACGTCCACGTCCGCGTCCACGACCACGTCCAGAAGATTTGGACTGAGGTTTTGGTCCTCGTTTGTTTTGCTTTTTAACTTCTGGCGAATGATCAACTATTTCAGGTGATTTATAAGATAGAGCAGTAACACGGCTCGAAGATCGAGTAGGTTTAGAAGGAGATTTTTTATCAGAAGGTGTGCGATTAGGATGAGGTGAACTAGTCACTGAAGGAGATGAAGCAATAATGGACATTGGAGATCGTTCTGGCAAAGGAGTTGTAGGAAGAGCAGGTGATTGTTTAGGAGTTGGTATACTTGGAGTAGTTTGATTAGATACTTGGCTGACACTGATAGGAGTCTGTACTGGTGTTTGATTAATGTTCTGGTTAACCTCTGCTTGACATACAGATGGAGTATGTACTTCTGGAATAGACTGTTTATTCAAAGGTATTTGTTTTGGTGTTGATGTTAACGTTAATTGATTGGTGGACGTTACTTCAGTACTAGTAATTTTACTTTGACTAAGAACAGGCTCTTGATTATTAGAAATTATTTGTGGAAGTGTTACTTCAGTTTGGTTATTTAAAGTTACTGGTACTTGGTGTTGATTTGATGTTGATTGTAAATTAATCTCTTGAATTTGGTTATTTGTTGAAACTGGGATTAGATTATGATCACCAGGCATTTGATTACTAGTAGAAACTCTAGGACTCTTAGGAGATTTAATTGTTGGTATAACAGATAATTGATTATCTATTAGAGATGCTTGATTAATTGCATTGAAAACAGTATGCATCACAGTTTCTGTATGTAAAGATAAATTATTAGTACCAGAACCCATCAAAAGATTGCTATCATTATACATACTTATATCATTAAATGGTGGAATAAAATTATCATGATGTGTCATTGGAGATATCATGGCTGCAGTAAATGCCATATTTTGAGTTGATGAAGTGAAGGCTGCTGTACAGGGAGTTTGTAAATGTAAAGGTTTATTCGATTCTGGCATCAATGATTGATGAGTTGAGAATGGTGGAGGTATTGAAAATTGTTGAGGATTAAAAGTTCGCGATGAAGACATAAATGACATCTGATTACTAGTAGGTGGGTTCAATATAAAAGATGGATCCGAGTATTGAGAATACTGCATATTGTCCATTTGCATTGGAACAGATGAAGGAAATGGATGTATATTTTGATATAATGACTCTGTTGTACTTGGATCTCGATGTTCTGGAGATGGTTCATTTGATGTATCAGAACGCCTGGATGGCATTACAACGCTATCTGACCAACGGTTTGCATCATTAATATCCTGATATGGAGATTCTGCCTGGCTACGCTGACTTGGTGGTACCCACCTCTCATCAGATAAAGCGCTTTCGCTCCTATCCAATTTATCTCGTTCTGGAACTTTATTCACATCTACAACTTCATTGGACTGTTGATGGAATTTATTGTATGCATTATAAAGAATATTATCTGTCTTTTGTTCTGGTTCAGATGGTTTAGGCGGGTCGAGTATTTTAGGAGTATCGTTTAACTCAATATTTTCTATATTTTCATTTTCTAATGGTACAGATTTTTTGGTGATTCCTAATCTTAACTTTTCAACAAGGTTTAAGGTTTCTCTAGCTGTTACTTCTTTTGAATCATCTTTGAAGAGGAATTCATTGTTAAATGTAAAAGACAATGGCGCATTTCGAACATCTGTATCTCTTGTCAACCCAAATCCTTCCTCATTTGCTGCTTGTTCAACAGCAAGCATATCATTATCAAAATCAAAATCTGGAATATCCTTATTACATTGTTGTGGAGAAAATATTGATCTTTGACCACCAGAAAATTGATTATTACAGATGAATGGCGTTTTAGAAAGTTTTTTATCATAATCATTATTAACCAACTCTCGTTCTATATCTTGTCTAGTTAAAAACGAAGAACTTAATAAATTTTCATCTTTGAGATCATTTAAGCGATGACCACCTGGTAAATACAAATTTAACTCATCGGTTTTTTTATTTTCTTTATCAGATGTATGTTGTACTGGTACAACATTTTTGTTTTTCACTTCTTGTATGGTTTTATTAAGGCCATGGTCTTCTTTAAGAACTCTTTGATCTCCATCATCAAGTTTCAACTTCTTCTCAATCTCTTTGTCCTCAATTGCATGTACGGGCTGTTTCGTTTCAAGTTTATTTCCGTCCGGCTGACTAGTTGATGTTCCAACGTAGTCACGATCGCTCGATTTTCTATTTCCATCATCCCGGACACTAGAATCTCCACATGTGACGATTTGAACAGTATCGCATCGATCACTTCCAATCGATTTTCTTCTAGATTCCTCTCTCTTAGGTGGCGGATCCTGAAACCTGTGTTCAGGCCGCCTGTCGGAAGTTTTAAGCTTCTTGTCTGGCGCCCTGATCACTTTTTGGTCTTTATCAGACTCACTACTAGAGGAGGAACTAATTTTAATAGGTTTATTTTCTGATAACCAACCTTTAGATTTAGGAGGGCTTTTAGTTTTATTGACTTCTTTTTGTGGGCTTACACGCTCAATAGATTTATTTTTCTTTTCGGGTTCTGTATCACTTTCAGATGAAGACGAACCTGATGAAGAGGAAGAACTAGAAGTACTTGAAGTACTTGATGAACTACTAGAAGAACTACTGCTTGATGTAGAGGATAAAGAAGACTTTGTACTACGTTTGGACTTTATAGTTGAATCATCTTTTTTAACAGATTCAGGTACTTTAGTTTCTTCAACAGGTTTTGTCATACCACTCTTAATGCCTTGAATGGCTTTTTTAGCAGCTTGCCTCTGTGGAACAAAACTGAATGAATCTTGTGGATCTGATTCTTTATCTACTGAACTTAATTTTTCAAGGTTTTTAATTTTATTAACTTTAGTGGGTTGTTTATCTGGTGATTTAATATTGGATGTAACCTTTTCAGGAGATTTTTTATGTGTTGAAAATAATTTTTCTGGAGATTTCTTTTCATTTAAAATTTCGTCATGCTTATTATGTACTCGGTGAATACTTTCAGTAGCCTTCTTAGCAGCTTGTCTTTGAGGTACAATAAGTTCTGTAGGCACCGTAGGATTATTTTTACCATCTTCTTTTTTCATTTTCTTAATGTCTTTCTCCAGTAATGTTTCTTTGGTCTTGGACACAGAAGTACTTTTATCTTTTACATTTTTAGCTTTAGACTTTCCTTGAGAGAACTCTTTAACTGCTGCTTTGGTATGTGTATAAGATAGATTATCTTCTTTGTTTGATACTTCAGAATCTGAGTCAGAATAAATATTATTTACCTTAGTTGGACGTTTGGACAAAAGTTTAGGTAAAGCAACATCCTCACTATCATCACTACCAAACTGCTTTTCAATTTGTAACAATTTTTTATTGGGTGATGCACTCCATTTTTGTTTCACTTTATCGTTTTCTTCTTCAGTAGATGAATCAGTAGAAAGTTTTGTTTTTGAACGTTTTTTATTCAGCCTTTTTTCTTTTAATTTACGTTTGTTCAACATAGATTTGATTAATTCAGCTTCATCCATACTTGATCGTTCACTACTGATTAATTTAGGGGGTTTTAATTCAAGATCACTACTGCTTGACATACTTGAGTATCGTATTGACCCATTGATATAGGTTCGCTTATATGGGTTATTACTTGGGGGCCATTTTAAACCAGTATAATTAGATTTTTCTGGTGAAGCTGCTCCAGCAATACGAGACAACATTGTTTCAAAATCAGTGCTTAAGTCAGGAGCATCAGGATATGAGTATAATCGATCATATATTGATGGTCCATGATTAGCTTCTTGGACAGCTGATACTTCTGCTGAACTAAGATTAAGCTTAAGATCTGAAAGAACTGCCACTTGTTTGTGAAAAGTTTGCTCACGTAAACTGAGCAAGTTACGAGAAAGTTTTTCTCTTCTGCTGACCATATAACACAAATTTCGTACCTAACAACCAAATTTGATTTGGTAATTAATTTAAATCATTATAACATTAAAAATAATGATAATTTTAAATTTAATAGTATAACTTACCCTTTCTAAATCTTGTCTAAGTTGTACAAACATCTTATGTTTTTCTAAATCTGCTTGTTCTTGCTGTCTTCCAAGAAGATCACCATCATCAGATTTTGGTAATAACAATGGTCTGTTATTTCCAGATCTTCTTTTTAATACCCAATAATTATAAATATATAGAATACCATCATTATCAACGTCACGGCATTGTGTAACATCAGTGACACTAACATGCTTTTCAAATTCACTTTCAATTTCTTGCAACCTTGGAAAAAACATTAACATTTTTATAAAATGTATTATTTTAAATTTTATGTAATAAACATACTTGGCTGCTCTAGCTTGATTTTTTTCTTCAGAAGTCATATCTTTTCGTTTTCTTTTTGTAGAATCTTCATCTTCTGAACCAGAATTTCTATCTTTTTTACTAGTTACACTATGTTTTTGACAGTACGACTAAAATATTCAAAAATGTTTCTCATAAAACTGTTTAATATTATTAAAATATGTTAAGTGTCTAATGATACTAACCCGTAATTTTACTCCATCTTCAGCACTCTCATCTTCAATAATAGCTCTCATTTCAAGACCATGTTTAAAAGCACAAGTAACATGATAAGCAGTCTTGCATGTCTTAACTGAACATTGTATACATGCTCCAACTCGTTCTCGACACAATACACATATAAGTGCCCATCTACTAGGCTAAAAATATAGAATAATATTTAATTCATGATTTATTGCACTAATTTCTGATTTAAATACTTACAGGTATACTAGATATTTTGGTGATAGGTTCCATTTTTTCTACACATCCAATACTAACTTCAGGTATCCACAATGCACATGATACATGTGCCCATTTATGGCCTGATCGTGTGCATTTCATTGCACCATTTTTATTAGGACAAAGTACACATTCCGGACGAAAACGTAAAGTACAAGTACGACACAGCCAAGACCCAGAAGGAATTGTGGTAATACCATAACATGCTTGATGAACACAAATATTGCAATTATCACAAAACACCATTTCATTGCCATCTTCTGAATCAGGCTAAAAAAATAAAAAAGAATTTATTATAAAATAATAAACTAAATAATTTTCAATATTAATTAGTAATTACTAATTAACTCATGTTCAATAATGGTTTTAGGATATTTAGGTTTTAAACCATAATTACTCATTTTTCTCAATAATCATAAGGATTCAGTAAATATTAATCTATAAAATATATTACATAAAATGGACCACATGATACTTAAAATATTTGTTTGAGCTATTAAGAGGTAGTTCTATGTTGTTCATATTTATATATATTTTAAAATTTGTTAAATAAATAAGAATTAATTACTGCAGAAAAAAAAATTTAAAAAAAACTAATGATAAATATAGTATTGAAGATATTTGTTTCAATGTCAAAAATTATAAGTCATTCATTGCTGCGCGAACTGCAACATATTGACTCTCATCTCGAGCATCAATATATTGCAGTGGCTGAGATACCAGTGTTATGTAATTATAACCACCACGATTCAAAGCCTGTGTTAAGACACATTTTTTTTTTCAAATATTATTTATTGTATATTGTAAATATATAATCCATTCAATGGATATCCATCAAAAAACATTTTTGGTTTGGTTAGGTTAAGTAGAAATTATATTTTTACTTTAAAAAAAAAATATTTTAATGATAACATTATTAATTAATATTCACTTTAAAATATATTCTTTGGATTGTAATTCCATTGTATTGTTTGTGAACATTTTCACTTAATACCTCAGTTTTGATATTAAAAAAAAAATAAAATAAAATAAAAATTTACTTGACATTTTAAATAACTTATTAATCAACTAAACTTACACTAGCTGGACTACTGCTTGTTCATTCTACTACTATTCTCTTTTTCACGAGAGAACGGGACCGTTTCGCGCATATAGAATGAGCGCCAGTCGGCTTGTCCGCCTGTGAAATCCCCTCCACGCAGTCCGAAAGTTATACCTAACCTGGGCGGCGGCGACCAGTTTCGGTCGGAAGATGGTCCCGTTCTCTCGTGAAAAAGAGTATACCTACTATACTTCTTTATATATTTAGCAGATCATTTTTTAAAGTTTACAGAATAAAACAAGAAAACCTAATTAAAATTTATATTTTAATATTATACCAGCCATATTAAACTTGTGTCAATATTAATTTATAGCATAGCTGTTATATCAAACAATTAGAACATGAAAATAGCAAGACAACTGATATAATTATGAATTTCATAATTTTATTAAAAATAAAAATCATAGATAAAAAAACAAACCTTATTTTTATGAATCAATGTTGGTTTTATAACCTACTATATAAACTAAGAACGGCTTTGTGCACTGTTATGGTAAATAATAGCACTACCACTCAAATTTTTATAATTGTGTTTACGTTGAAAGTAAATTAGCTGCAAAGTTAGGTTATTAGTAAAATGGAGACTCATATTTTAAATGAATTATCAATTGTAACCATATTAGATAGTCATGAAAAATTATCATTAATATGAAACTATTTTATTTTTTTCACTAATTATAATTTCACATTACTTAATACAAATTAATTGATAGTATCATGTATAAAAATATATAGTTTCTTTTTAAGTTATAAGGAATTTTATTAAAATACTTACCTAAAAAATAAATTAAGTTCAATGAAATTAGTATATATTAATTTGAGAAGAACAAAACAAAATTGATAGTGTTGATAAATGTTCACCCTTTTATAAATAAAAATAAGGATAATCCAAATAAAAGTTCTTTGTTAACTGTCTAAAAAAATGTTGTAAGTGTCCCAGTTACTTTAAATGATGCAATATGGTAACTAGTTTTAAAAAGACCTACAGAAATGATTAAAACAAAACAAAATATTAATGTGAACTTTAAATCTTAGTGAAATGTTAAAAACCTAATAGCTTAAAATAAAAAGTCTTAATCGATAATTACTTTAAACAACACTATTGTCACTTAATTAAATGGCAATAACATAGCTTCAAGCTCTTGTGTTACTATATCTTACAACATATACTGTAGGCGATTTGTGTAGAGCAAAACCAATTTAGAGTTATTATTATAGATATGAATGAAAATTTAACTAATATTAAAATGTTTGCAAGTTGGATTTTTACAATATTTTAATTTTTATTGAAGTTACTTGTTTCTAAAATTTTGAATTATATAAATACTAATATTCATTTAAAAAATAAAATATCATAAAAATAAACATACTAACACATTTATGTTTTTATCTTTATGTTAAATAATAAGTTAATTTATTGTCTATATTAAAGCTAACAAAATAAAATTGGTTTAGCTGAATAATTTTGGTATTGAAAATTTATCGAGGCAAAACATGCGAGTATGCAATCTTCTTATTATAAAATACATAATAATTATTCTATTTTAATAAGTAAACATAAAATAAATATTAATAAACTAACCGATCGGCACACATCACAGATAACATTTTCATCATATTCAATTCCAAGGCCTTCTTCTTCTTTAATTATTTTTTGCACTTTTTCCCAGCACCTCATTTCTAACTCTTCCATAACATGTTCAAATTGATCATCTTTTATTTTTGGTAAGCCTAAATAAATGTTTAGATTAATATTTCATTGCACATGTTTACAATATTTTTAAATTAATACCTCCTAATGATCTTTCTCCATTACACAATTTTAACCAAGCTGAATCTAAATCATCCATATCATATGAACAAGATTTTTCTGCTTTCAAAGGTAAAAGTGATAATTGATGTTCTTCGGTTTTAAAATGCTCATCCTTAGTGATACGAATATATTTATGTTTTGGCCTAAAATAAACACATTATAATAGAATAATTAAAGAAGATTATTATTATTTTAAATATAATTAAAACAATTACAATTTGAATTCATTATGTTGAGAATGATAAATTGATGATGGTGAACGCCTAGGTGATTTAGTTGAAGACTGCAAGCAGACCACGGGAATTTCATGAACACTTGATCCAGGTAAAGAATCTGGATTAACTGGTACTTGTACACCTCGTTCCCACTCTTGTTTCCATTGGTCACTAATAATCCAGTATGCATCAGTAGACAATTGTTCAGAATCAGGAAGCTTCATGGCACTGATCAAGTCTTTACGAAATAACTATAATAAAATTGTTAAAAACATATATATATATTAACATTCGTAAAATTTTAATAAAAAACAAAATAATCACTTCAGCTGGTGCATCAGTTGTAGTCCGTGTATTATAAATTGATGATGGTATTCTCATATCTGAACGCGAGCCACTTTGAGTATCTAAGGAGGACGCTTCTTCTTCTTCCTGTAGCGTCGAAGGGCGCCCCTTCCGCCTCTTTGTCGGTACTAGAAAAAGTAAAAATAATTAAATATATTTTAATTAATTACATTAAACCAGTACTTACATGGACATTCATCTTTAGAGATCGGTTGACGTTTAGTTCTATATGACATGCTGAGTTTGCAAATGATAGAAACCTAACTCCGCCTTCTGCAGCATTGATGCCTGTTTTATATAATAACAATAAAAATGTAAAATACCAAACAATTTTTTTTCTTAAAAAATATTGGTGTCTTTTAAAAATGTGATTTATCAGTTTTAATTAACTTTTAAAATTCAAATTAATTATTATAATAATAAATTACTAAGTAATAATATATAAATGTATTATGTTATTTTATTATGAAATAAAAAATTGTTCACAAAACTAAGGTTACTAAATACAACCAACTAAAAATAAATATTACATTAAATAAATTGTATACATAAATACTTTTGTAAGTATATTTTTAACAAGGACCTTAAAATAATAGATTAAAATTAACCTAATGAGAACAATTTCAAATTTAATCATACATTATTTTATTACTTTTTGATTTATTAAAATTCATTGTAATAATACTTAATTTTATTTTACGATTTTAGATATTATTTCTTTATAAAATATTATTCTAAAAGGTAATATTTAATTTATAAAAGTATTTCAATTAAATGATAATTCAGATCAAAGATATTAGAAGCTATTATTTATAAGTTAACTGTAAATGATTCTTTATTCAGTGAATTTAGAATTTAGAGCCATAATGTAAGTTTAAATGGATTTAACAATAGGTCTATTTAAATATTGTTAAAAAAAAAAAAAAAATTAGTTTTACTATGCATGCAAGTAATGATCTGTGTGAATTAAAACAAAAATAAATGTAAATTAAGTTAATCAAAAAAGATTAAATTTAACGTAATTTTCTGGGAAATTAGTCAAAAATTACTTGAAAAAATTATGTACATAATATATTATAAAGCATTATATCACAGCTGCATTTATGACACTAGAGGCCTCAAGGCCATTCTATAAGTAAAAGATTTAATAAAAAAAAAAATTGCATTTACTCACCACATAGCAGAGTTAAAATAAAGGTGTATGATAAATTTTCTGATATTAGTTTTTCAAGAATTAACTGAAAAAAAAATGTCAACTAATATAATTTAAATACAACAATAAAATGATAAATATTTAACATTTTAAAACCAAATATAGTCACTACTAGCAGGCAATACAAAAACAAATAGGTATACTCGTAGGTATATATCATAACAGCCCACACAGCATGTAGTGTGATGGTTTAATTAACAAATATAAATATAAGTAATTTATTTATAAAAAAGAAATAAAAATATTAAGTTAAATTATACTATGTTTTTTTATTTTAACATTTAATCATAACAATATATAGCATTACCTAAGTTCAAATCAAAAATTCAAGATGTAAAAAAATACCTATAAATGTTTACTAAAATTATTAAAATAATTTCTATACACTTAAAATGAAAAAAAAAAAAAAACTATGTAAAAAATACAAATTAAGGTTTATACCATTTTATTTTGGGTGACATTAATCTAATAAATTAGATATCATAGTGATAAATTAGTATTAAATTTAAATATTTACCGAAGTATGACAAATTATTGTATTTTTTAATATTTAAATACATATCCATAACCATATTATCAATCATAAGTTAATTTTGTAACTACATTTAAAATTTATGTATTCTATTCCAGAAGTTATTTATATAATATTTAATTATTAAAATACTAGACTGTACTAAATATAATACTATTACTTATTATCTAAGCAATGGATATTGTCTATTAGTTACGATTTTTTATGTTCAAGAATTACAAGAAACTGAAATGAATTATCATTATAGGTACTTTTTTAAGAATAAAACACCAACAATATTTGAGACCCACTTAAAGATCACCCCACCAGTTACATTTTATTAGCCTAACTATGTTGAAGTATTCATAAATTATTGGTGTATTATTTATTATTTTGAATTTGTTTTTTTTCTTTTTTGATTAAAATGGCAGTAAAAGTTATTATAATTTTAAATTGGGAAATAAACTTAATTTTACACAATGATTTAAAAAACCATTGTAAAACATAATGCGTCAAGGATGTTAAAGCTACCTTCAACAAGGGCTAATCAGAAAAATGTATCATATTAAGAAACTTGCCATTTATACAAGTTATATGAACTTACATTTTTAATTTTATATATACTAATATTCTAATGAGAACTACTAATTAGAAGGTCAAAACTCTGATAAAATGTAATTTAACTACGTTCCTAACTATAACAATTTTGGATGCTAATTTGTTAAGAGTTTTCCTCATTCTGCACTTGAAACAAAGTAATTAGTTCAGCCAATTATATTTATTCATTTTGTTTTTTAATTATTATGTTATCTTGTAATGGTTGTTTGTTTTTGATATTTATATGATACTGATTTTTTGTATATTAATTATTTAGTTTTAGTAAAATGAAATAAGTATAATCAATTTTTAATTGAAAAATAAAATATCAAAGATAATGCCTTTAATCACAAATGCAGTATAAAAATGCAAGTAAAACAAAGAAATTGCCTCAATAAGAAAATAGAAGATACAATTTTGATGTCCAAAACAAGATTACCACAGGCATAAGTATTTTTTAAATTTTACTGAATTAAATCAAACCAACACGTTTTAACATTAAAATAGTGATAAACTGATTGTAAGAACATGGTAGTTTTAAATTTAAGAAGGAGGTACTATCAACATTAATAATGATATTTAATCATATTGAATAAAAATATTAGTTACTTTAGCATAATTTGATTTATTAATGTCATGAAAAACATTTGAAAAGAATGCTTAATTTACAAGCCACAAAAATTGTTTTAAATGCAGAAAACTTCAAAATTAAAATATAAATAATCAATATTTTATGAGTACTTTTACCATAGGTAATTAAATGTTTTTAAGAGTAAAACTATCATGATACATTAAACTTTAAACAATCTCAGACTTTAATAATATACACTCAATTAAGACCTTGAATTCATCTCTACCACCATTAAATTTATTGTAATCGTCAATTTACTTAAAAGACTAATATTTTAACAGTTATTTTTGTTTACTATAACCTTATCGATATTTATATAAATACACACATGAAAATCTTTATAAACAGTGACTGATACTAAGGGTTATTTTAAATAAAATAATAATAATAATAATGTAATTAATATAAAAAGTAGGTTGTTATAGAAAATGAATAGTTATAAATAAGACATAAATCTAATTCATTAGATACTTTTGTTCTATTGTAGGGTGAAATAGTTTTAGGCGACAAAAAGTCACAATTTTAACAAATAAACAAAAGAAATATCTTACTTAATAAACATAATCAATTTTAATGTACATTTAGTGAATAATACATGCATAATATTGAGAGGTAGAAAATTTAGCAAGCTGAGAAAATAAACTTATTGTGTTGATGGTACATACAGAAATAGAGTGATAGGACCTATATTAGATGGTTAACATAAAATGAAAAATTATTAGTGCATCACACGCATACACACTTTAAAAGACAACACCTATGTGGATTGGTTTATGACAAGTGTCGACGACTTACCAGGTATATTGTGTTTTGCAGTAATCAATTTGCTAATGCCAAGCAAGTCGGGACAGTACCAATGCTAGCGCATTCCATTGCTGCCGAAACGCGGGACGTCATATGACAATCGCTAGGAACATAAACGAGACATAAGAAAAAACGTTAGGGCGCTTGTTGGTCCACGGACTGAGGTGCACGTGTAGTGAAATTACGCAATGATTAAGTTATAGGAGGGGGCATAAGAAATTAAGAAAATTAGTACAAGAATTCGCACTAAAAGAATATATATAATTATTAAATAAAACATAAATTAGTATTTTAATATTCGGGAGCGTAATAATAAAACGTAGATAATGACAACAAATGCGGGCGGCCGGCAGATGGCACCACCGCCGTTTTCCCGTGTTTTCGTGTTTTGATTTGAGGGGGAAGAGGAATAAAAGGACGAGAAAAAAAATCGTTAACAACTGAAATTACAATCGGTTCCGCGGCTCATCAGAGTCGGGATTCGATCTCGCTAGTCCAGGGAAATTGTTACAAATACTCGCGTACTTACATGTGTGAGTCAAAGACTAGGTAATCCCAAACAGCTCTCAACACGTCCAACACATTCGGTCGGGGGGGCCCGTTTACATCAGCGGCGGTACGGGTCGGGCGAGAGCGCGGTTCAATGGACGATGGCGGCGAGATGCGCAAGTGGACGAACGGTCGCGGCGACGTGTACGCGACGGCGGACGTCCAAATGGCGGCAATAAACACGGTGTACGGATACACCAGAATGCGAGCGTTACGGATTTCGCACTTATCGTTTCATGCTCGACACTTGCGAGTAGCGATTGGCGATATTGGTATATAAAAAAAAAAAACAAAAAAAAACAAAAAACACCTTCCTGCTCCTGATGACTGCAGTGCTGCCAACAGACACGCCACTCTTCTCCCCACCACAAGAACAATACCGTTTCGTGATATACGAATGCCTTCCGATTCGACGGGCAATTGGCAATCACGAGTAAAATTCAAATTCTGAGATATTTTCTGGTTACCGTGGTATTTCTGGTTTATCTAGTAATTTTCCAGTAGCATTATTAATTTTACATTTTTACCTATCTTCCCGTTAGTCGTTATCTCTCCTTAATAAACATTTTTTATAAACCGTACAACGGATTATAGACTAATTATAGAGAAGAGATCAATATTGAGGATTAAAATATAAACACGAATTCAGACTCTGCGTAATTAAATGTTTAATTAAATGTTTAAGTATAAAAAACAATTGACATTCAAAGATAATAAAATATTATAAAAACAATTTTGTTGTCAACAATATATTTTTTTCTTAAAATAATGTTTATAATTTATGTTTGTTAGATGTTCGTTTTATGATTTATTATAATATTATAATATTGCAAATTGCAATAGTACTATCATCTCACCAACCAAAACCCTGAACCGTTGAGTTAAGCTGAGGCGCCGTCGATCAGTCACAGACAACAGTCGTGATCGTAAATAGTAAATTCTGTCCGGTAAATTTTATTACCTACTTATTAAATTACATTCACACGAAAAACTTGTTATTTAGTAATTAGATAATATAGCTGTATAGAATATAGATAGACAATTTATATAATATATGTATCTAAAATGAAATTTAAAAAATATATTATGCAGATCGTCGAGAGAAAAACCCGGACGATTTTAGTGGGATTTTACTTCAATGTAAACGGTTGGTACTACGCTAATAGTATACGTCGTTTGGCGCCACATTCCTGTACGGTTTTGTGTATACATATTTTAAATCACCTATACGTCTATAATCTATATCCATTGTAAATAAACCACGGTAGTATGTTACTATGTTATGATTAAATTCGGTATAATTACATAAATATATAATTTTTTACTACGATAATGCCATTATCACACTTTTAAATATTTTTAAATTAATTATTTTTCATAGGTAAAAATGTTATAAATATTAACCACTCGAGAGCGTAAGGGAGTATAATCGATAAATAACGACGGTGGTATAAAGACGAACTACATAGTCTTTATATATATATATGTGCGTATTAAATTTCCAACTGATAAAATAAATATTAAATATTATATATTTAAATATCTTACATAAAGTTAAATTATTTATTTTTATTAATTATTGTGTAATGGTTATAAAAGTACAAAATAATTTATTTAATTTAAACATTATAAAATATAATAAGGTACCTATTCGATATTCCCGCCTTGCTCTCTCAACCACACGGTCACTAATAGTGTCCATTTAGAGTGTTTTAAAGTTTTAAATACAAAAACATCCACTTTTAATTTAATTTTAACGTCTACATCATGCAAGTTCCAAAATATTGATAATTATTGATTAAAATATATTTTCTATTATCTATTATTTATCATTATTTCTAAAATATTCTAGATGCTAAATCTTAAAAGTTAATTATTGTCCATAGATATTTGTATCGGTAGGTAATTTAATTCGCCTATACGATACTTTTTTCTTAAAAAATATTAGTTCTTCATTCATAATGATGTTAATATAAAACGCGTTTTATCATTATTCGCACTACCTATACAGAATAAATCACTAAGTAAATTCAATCTTCTTACGTGTTTTTTCTTTTAATAATGTATTTATTCAAATTCTGATATTTAGAAATTTTAAACTCGAATACCATATTATAAAATTATTGAAGATTTTTGTACTAATTAGGAAATGTGGATAATTTTTTTTTAATTTTGACATACCATATTCAAAATTCAAATGAACATTTTTTAGTTATTAAAATGTTTATAAAAACAAAAAAAAAGGTCTTTATATAAAATATGTCAAATATATTGAATCTATTGGTTATTATACTTGGGCAATATTTAATTACAAATATTAATAAATAATATATATTAATCTATTGTTTATTAATATTAATTACCTACTAAAATGTTGAAATCGCCATAGCCCATTTATTTTCCAAGTCCATTATCATAAACTTATTATCCATAATACACACATCACACTGTTAAATAACTCAAAAACTAATTCTTATAATTTTGATTTTGGTTCAATAAAAATATGTACAATATTTCCATTAAGTACAAAGAAACTTGTTTATTTAACGGACACTTTTGACGGCCCCGCGGGCTGTGGCACGTGACTGTCTATTGAAGATAGAGTTTATTGTACATTGTAAATTGTAATTATAATTAATAGGTATTACATTTAAATTTTAACATTAGGTTAAGAATAAGAGATTTATTATGATCATTTATGACTAAAAATATTTGTCTTATACCACGATTTATCTACATAGTTTTTAATTTATATTCCACCCGCATGGTGCAAAAATCATCATAGTACAAAAGCTAAAAATACAGCATAGTATAGTGCAGTGGTCTTCAACCGGTGGATCGCGACCCATTTTTGGGTCGCGTAAGCCTTAAAATTAGGTCCCGACAAATCTTTTTTTGAAATAAAAATTAGATTTATAAAATTATATAAGGTAAAAAAATAATAATATTATTATATTATAATCATAATAGATATCAAGTATAATGTTTCATATTACAGTGGTATGATTCTATAATATAAGCAATTTGTTCTTTTTTATCAGGCTTACGTGGGTCGCGAAAAATAAAGGCCTAAAAGAGTGGGTCGTGAGTCTAAAAAGGTTGAAGACCATTGGTATAGTCAATAGTGGATATCTCATAATAGGTACATAGAATATTTTTATTAGTTTTTACTGACTAATTTTCGCAACTATTGTTATACCTACACAATTATATATTATTATTACCTGTATTATATTTAATAATAATATATTTATATAAACTAAATATTTTTAGAAGTATAATTCTTCCTTTATCTCATCACAGTGTTAGTTATTCAGCATAATCCGATAATGTTTAATATTTTTTTTAAATGGAAAATAATATGAATCCAGTTTAAATTTGTACGGTTTACCTTAAGTTAAAGAAAAGCTAGAAAGAGGTACAACCGCTTTGTTGTATTTATAATATAGTAAGTGATTTATAGTAATTTGTGGATTATACCTTACTATTATTATATTATAATTACAAACTATTTTAATATAGATACCTACTACCTAGCATGCATTTACATATACTACACATACCTATTAATGTTATTAACTTTTGACTTTTGAGTCAATATTGATTTACCGTAGATTGGTGAGAATAGGTTTGTATAGGCGAAATTTCAGTAAAAAGACCGTGTTCAAATTATTTAATTTTCTGAAATTTAAATTATAGTTAATGAGGTAAATGGCTTTTTAAGAAAAATGTTCAATAAATTTATCATACTTTTATAACCTTTTCATTTTGAACTATTTTTAATACTCTGTTTTTGAATAGAGTAAATTTAAAATTTTAAAATTATTTATTCATCGACAAATCTTGGTTTATATAGTAACAATCAGATGCTTGATGATAAGCTGCTTAGGTTTTTTGTATAGGTAGAGGTTTTATTATACAAATACAAAAATACTGGAGGGTGCTTGTTTTAAAATTGAGTGTTATAACTAATTTTAGTTGGTTTGGTAACTAAATTTTGTCAAATTTGAACTTAAAATATTGTTTACAAAAAAAAGTTTCTGCTTAGACGCTTAGACCAACATCGATTAATAAACTGTATAATATACTATATAGTAGTAGTTTCAACTTAGACTTTTTCGAATTGGAGTTGTTCGTATTCGAGTTAGCATTGTTGCAAAAATAATGTTGTTAGTTGATAATGAAGTATAATCGTAGTTTTGATAATATAACTATTATATTTATGAATCATGATTAGATATCTACTTCAGATTTTTTAGTTTTTCTGATGATGCAGATGATTGCCTATTATATACTTTAATTCACAAAAGAAATATTATTAATTTTTCACAACAGTCTAATGTCTATAAACAATCATATACATAATAACAAAACAGTGTTTTGCTTACGTATTCTTACATTACATAATAATTAATAATTAATAATAATATACAATATTGGGTTTTAATTTACTTTGTATTTTTTGAACCCGATTATAATTTTTAGAAAAATCGGTAAATTAATAGAACAGAAAAAAAAATGATGGATTCTCAAGATGCTAATCGCCCAGAACTACTAGAAGAAGTAAGATTGTTTCGCAATGCTCGTGAACGGGAAAAGTATGATAATATGGCTGACTTCTATGCACTAGTCAACACATTGCAGCATTTGGAAAAAGCATATATACGAGATTGTGTGACGCCCAAAGAATATACTGCTGCCTGCTCAAAATTGCTTGTCCAGTGCAAAGCTTCTTTCAAACAAATACAGGGTGATGATTTTCCAACGATTGAGACTTTTGTTAAAAAATACAAATTAGATTGTCCAGCAGCAATAGAGCGTATTAAAGAAGATCGACCGATTACTATCAAAGACGATAAAGGCAATACTAGTAAATGCATTGCTGATATTGTTTCTTTATTTATAACCATAATGGATAAACTAAGGTTCGTATTAGAATATAATATTATACGTTAATATTTAAATGTTATGTCTATTGACAAGTGATTTATTTAAAACCTAAGTTATAAAATTGGATAAGTCTTTAATATAGAAAATATCCATATGAGGTATTGGTTTTTTAAATAAAAAATACCAAAATAATTTAAAAATACCTAGGTACTTACTCCATTTTTGTTTATTTAATATCTCAATGTATCTTTATTCAACTACTTCCTGGACTGGGCCACTGTGTTACTGTTCTTTAGCACAGTGGGCTGCATGCCTCAATTTTGTAATAAAATACTAGTTTTTGTTAACAATTAATGAGCGAAAAAAAAAAGAAAAGTTTTTTTTAATATTATATCTATGGGTTTATGGGCCGCCTGCTTACTGAGAATAGTAGGCTGGTATTCTTCTAGTCCAGGCCTGATCAGTGCACATTCAATTTAGTTTGGATAGGCTGCACATTTTTCTACAGTTAATTTTTCATAGAATAAAAAAGAGCCTATCTACCCTTTTTTAATGGTTGGAATATTTAAGTTTAAATGTGAATACTTATATTTAACACACTCTGATTATAATGTCTGAGCACGCTTATGTGACATATATTAATATATTCATAGATAGTATTAATTTGATACTTTTTTTTTTTTTGTTTGATTATTTATCAATCCTAAGTTCTTTAGTTTTTACAAATTTATGAAACTCATATTAAAACCAAAAATCATGTTAATGTTTACCCATCTTATACTGAACAGGTTGTTTTTATATTTAGAAATGTTAATAATGATAATTAATTATCTTATTGAATTGCAATGTTTGTACATTAAATTTTCAATAAAACGTTATTCATTATTTAGCTAAAATTCCTTTTAATACTATTTTATAACTTTTGATAGAAAACTTCTCCCACTTAAATCTAGTTAATATCTAGTTTTGTATTATTTTAATCTAAAGTATACACACAAAAAATTAATACATTTTAACAATTAAATAGGTTGGATATTAAAGCAATGGATGAATTGCAACCGGATCTTCGAGATTTAATGGATACCATGAACAGACTTAGTATGTTACCAGCTGACTTTGAAGGAAAACAAAAAGTATCTGATTGGTTAAGTTCTCTGTCATCTATGAACGCTTCAGATGAGTTAAATGAAACCCAAGTGAGACAATTGATTTTTGATCTTGAATCATCATACAATGCATTCAACAAGTTGCTCCATCAGTCGTCTTAATTAAATTTATAAGCAATATTATAAGTTATAGCCAAATATAAGAATAACACCAGAGTATTTGAATAATTTTTATTTATAAGAATACAAATGATAATAAATTGATTATAGTTATATATGACATTAGAAAAAAATGTATTTATTAATAATAATAGTAGTAATATGCTTGTTGAAAAAAATAAAGATCACCACTTGATTATTTAGCAACAATAAAAAATATGGTATTTATAAATTCCATTGTATATTACTGATCATTGGGTTGAGACTCATCATTTTGTTCAGCTTCTGAAATTGCAGGAGGAGGAGGTGAGTCTACTGCTCCATCATCTTGATCATGGCCATCATATACCACTCGAATATCTGGATCTATGGCTACTGCTCCCATAGGGTTACCTCTAGCATCTAATTCCAAAACAGGATCAGCAGTCGCTTCTGCTAAATTAGTCACAGATTTGGACTTTAAGCACTATAAAAAATAAATATGTTCATTTAATATATATTTGTTATTATTTTAGAACCAGTGCCTATGTTATAATCTAATAATATGCATTTCCTATATAAATACTAAATAAGATAATATTTAAAATTAAAATGGCATAATTATCTTCAATTTTGAATTTAAACAAAGAAATGTGTTTTATTTATAGGATAAATCAATATAATATAGATATGCAACAAGTTAATGCAATAATTTTTTGTTTATTATTTTGATTTAGGTTCAGCTCATAAGTGACACATTGTGAAAGGAGATGGGAAATAAGTATATCACATCTATTGCTAATAATTGTCACTAGTGAGCAGAATTAAAATTAATATAATGAGTGGAAATTGTTAGAATAGGTATTATGCATTTATAGTGTTATATAATTTACAGTTTTAGACTTTTAAATCTAGATTACAATTTACTAATTAGCAAAAAAATAATGGGTTGATATCTCAATATTTCAATATTTAGTGGATATAGAAATAAAATATTCATATACAGTAAAAAATTTAATTAAAACGTGAGATAGACTATATATCCATTGGAAATAAAAATATGAACAGTGCTTATTAATAAACAGATTATTGATGAAATTGAAATTATATGATTTACTTGGAAATCTACGTGGCGACTCTTGGCTTCTTCTTTTTCCCATGACATATGGATAAAAGGTCTTTGAACATAATTATAAATCACATCTTCACGACCACCAGCTCTTTTTTTAATTTTTTCTTTATAAGTTGGATAACCTTCAATACCTAAACGAATCTTTTTAAGACCACGTTCTTTCATTACTTGTTTGGCAACATCTCGATTTTCAATGTACTTGAAGAATCTATATAAGGCAGTGCTGTTTACAGCTGAAAAAAAAAATTGAAAAATTTGAATGTCAAAATAAAAAGTGGAAATTAGGGGTTAGGTTAGTTCAGTTGTTAAGTAGGATTCAAGTGTACTATGTAAATTATTTCATAAGTATCTATATTAATAATAATTAATTAAAAACTAATTTAATTTTAATATACTTTGTTATTAATTAATAGATAATTAAGTATGATTCCAAAATAAATATAGTTATGAAATCATTTTAAATTAAAAATTTATTTTTATGAATTTAATTTATTAATTTTTACTTTGTGAATATTCTTCTCCCATTTGAGGTGGATATTCTTCATCCCAATCCACTATATCATCATCTAATAAGACTACTACATGACATTCACGATCTCCTCGTTGAGCAGAATTGACCATTAAAGGTAATATTAGATCCTCTAAAAATACTTCAAATTGACAACGAGCTCCTTCATTAGACAGCTCATGTAATAATCCTCCTAAATCAATAAAATTATTATCTCTAAAATTATCTTAAATAAAAATTAGTTACTTACTTAAATTTTGACATTTGACTGTTTTAGCATCAAAAGGTACTAACAAATAATCACAAGCTTCACGCAGTTCTTGAACTGAAATTGAAGATGGACACCGCATTACATTACCCTTATAATACTCCAAAATGCACCTAAATACATTTGCTGATACACCTTCTGCTACTACATATTCTCCACGTTCATTTTTATTTGTATATTCATTAAAACTGAACATTCTGTTAAAAAATGAGGTTGATTATAAAAACTTTTATTTTAGAATATAATTTTATTTTACATTACCTTCCAAGCATTGTATTTGAGTGTGCAATGAATATAGCTGGGTCAACAATAAATCTAGTGTTATCTACAATAAGAGTTACTCTTTCTTCTTTATTAGCAATATTGTTTCTAGAGTTAGTTAAATGACTTGAACCTGAAGTACTTGGATAGGATGAACCTGAAGTAGTTGCATTTTGATTCATCAGACTTTTCATAGAATTCATTGAGCAAGAAAATCTGGGCATAGCTTTTCTAATAAAAATAATTTATAAACATAAAAAATTTAATTAAAGTCATCAAAAAATAATAAATGATTATTTTTACAAAGGATATTTTAAAGATTATATTAAATTATTTAATTCAGTTTTAATGATAAAAATCAGTTGAACCTAGTTTTAAAACTTAATCTTAATGAATTGTTTAAATTTAAATTTTCTATTTATAGCTTTTACTATAGAAACTGAAGCTTATACATACAACAATAATTATGTGTGTATTTAATATTTTTATTTTAGTATAAATTGATATTTTCAATTATAAGTAATATATTGAATTACATATTTTATTAAAGCTATTTTTAAATTGCTTTCCTCAATTGCAAATTTTAATGAGTGAAAATTTAAAGTATATAATCAGGATTACATTTATTTAATATTTTTTCTTAGCAATTGATTACATAAACATTAAATTCTGAACTTACATTATACTCATAATAAATGATAAAAAAAAAAAAATGTTAACTAAAATATAATAAATATGTTACTAAAAAATAATCAAAACCAAATTTGAAAATTTCTTTTTTTTAAATAATTAAAAATATATTGTATTATATTATTAATTGACCGTAACCGATGATCAAAAAAATAAATTAGTTGTTATAAAATGATTAAAATTACTATCACTATATTCAATAAATTCAATAATAATGGTCAGGTACTCAGATAATATAATTTTGATAAAAACTAGTAACTACCTAATTCACTGTAGAATAATTTAATATTTTCAATTAATTGGTATATTGTGGTAATGGGTTAAACACATGGCTAACAAATAATATAGTGACAGTGTAATGATATTTAAAATACCTTCAGAGAAACAGTTATGAATTACTTATTTTTTTTTTGGAAATGGTTTTAAGGCCTGATTAAAACCACGAAACTTAAAAAAAATTATTTTTGAGAGGAAGTGTTCATGTTCATAGAGGTGATTTTAAATAAAAAATGAACCATTTGATGTAATTTTAAAATATTTAAAACTGATTATGATATTTATAGATTTAAAAAAATATAATTTATTTAAATCATAGACATAATAATTTGTTATGATTGACTATTCTAATCTATGTAATTAAAACCAAAGTCCATGAATTCTGAACTAGTTATATTAGTTTCAGCTGTTTCAAGTTTAAACTGTCTTGATTTTAATGTCATATGTTATTATTATATATAATAATGCGTTTAATTAGTTAAAAATTAAAAATAAATCGTTTATTTTATTGTAAGGTTTAAGTGGTTTCAACTATTTTAATACAAACAGTAACCATTGATCTATTAATCATAATCTAAATGACTAAAATTTACCTATTTCTCACTAAAGTTGTTTGTTGTTTATTGATTGGTGTCAGAGCCAACTGGTTACCAGTTGAATGACGTTGTACCAAACACGATTTGGGTTTTAAGGAACTTCCATAACTGTAATAAAAATATTAAAAACTTAAAATACTAAAACATATACTAACTATTATAATTTATAATATTACTATATTGTAAAAACAATAGCTTATGATCGAGTTATTGCTTACTTCTAAAGCCTTTATCGTACTATAAATGACAATGGTAAATTGTAATAAGTTTGACAAATATACCTTAGTCTTGTTTTGAACACACGGCGCCTATGATCTTCAGTGTCTTGATAATCTTCAGTGTCAGTACTTGTATCACGATCGTAGTTGTGACGGCCGTCTTTAGACATGACCCAGGCTAGATAAAAACAAATAAGTTTATTGTGAGGTACTGCATTCTACATTTGGACAAAATAAAATAAATTTAATACAAATATAATATTATGAGCATACATTGTTTTACCCATTAATAGGCACAAAACGCCAGTAAAAATTCAACGTCGTTATACTTCTATCTAGCAACTTTTATCTAACTTTCTGTTAACGAATGAATACTAAAAAACTTTGAACTTGTCAATGTAATAGTGTGGTAATAGTGAGTTGTTGAAATTAATTCCTGTTAACACGACTTAACAGGCGGTACTAAGCAATCAACAATGTGGCCACATCTATGTTTCGAACTTTCGAATAACTTATATTTATTATCGGGATGTTATGTTTTTGTTTTGTTCATTGCGTATTTTTATTTAGATTGTGTTATCATTATTATCAGAAGTACACCAACAAATTATGATGAGTATTATGTGACACGGTGGGGGCTAGATTATAGATAATAATGTAAGATTGATGTGTTATCTCTAGTTTAAAATGAAACTTGGGAGTTTTTGAGTTCCTTAACTCGATAGTTAATACTCATTACTCACCAGCTAACAGTTTATCTAGTGCTAAAAAAGTCGGATAATTTTAAGACCAATGTAGTTGTGAATTAATTAACAGTTAGTGGTTGAAGACAAGTGTCCAATGTCCTGATGTCTTACTAAAAGTTAATTTTTCCATTACCTATATAGAATTATTTATATGTTTATTTGTCAACTCATTAGAGCATTGATGGAATGGGGTCACGGATAAGGTGAGTAGTTACAAACATTACAATTCCATTAAATTAATTGTTATGACATTGATATAATACCGTTTATTAGTGTCTACTCTCTCTCTAGTGGTTAAATATTTAAAAACATTGTAATATTGTAAAATGTACATTATTTATTGTGGTATAATGATGTAGTCATTTAATATTTTTTTTGTATTTTAACTGCATTTGGTTTATATTGAATTAGATGTGTTTTAAGTGGTCCACATTTTTAATTGATGAATTCAATACAGTGCATATTAATCTATTTTATATTATACCAGGAATGATGTTGACCGATTGTTTGAGTGTTTCTGTGAAGTTGCTGGCCCTAGTAAGGAAAACACTAATCCATGGATTCTCCAAAAGTTTCCAGAACACTATAGAAAAGATGAACTGCTTGATACTGTACCTAATTTTGCATATCCTTGTGAATTTGACAGGTAGTATTAAATGTAAACTAATAATATCAATTCTTATTCTAAATTCTAATAATTTGAATATTTAGAACCATGATTCAGCACTATTCATTTGTACTGACCAATGCTGAATCAAAGTGGATTTTTGGATTTTGTAGACATGATCCTAAATCTGAGACTGCTTTAGTTGTTCTCAGTTATCTTCCTTGGCATGAATCATTTTATAAGTAAAAATCATTTGAAATATACAAATATTTATTTATTTTTTACAGTTAATAGTAATGTATCATAATTATTTTTGTTTTAGATTATTAAATTGTATATCTAATCTCACAAATAGTAATAATTCTAAAGATTTATGGTCATTTTTGGAATCTGTATATAGTAGTAAATTACCAATCAAAGGACTTGATTTAAAAATTAATAGTGATAGTGGTGAAGAGGTAATTAATTTATTCAGGAATTTTAACAAAACTTTAAAATTTTTTTTTTATAATTACAGTTATTTGTTTGTCAGTCACCAATTCAATTCCAGTTACCAAGCATTCCAGAAAACGTATGTTATTTGTTATTTAAATTAAAATATATATTTCTAAATAATTTAAAAATTTGATTTTTTAGTAATATTAAGAAATTATTTAGTGCATTATGTACTTATTTATGTATAGGTCTATGAATTTTCATTTTGAACTATTAGAAAAAAAAACTCAATAAAATATTAATTATTTTGTATAAAAGAATTAACATTTCAACTAAAGATTGATATTTTAAATTTTGTTTTAGAGAAATTTGACAGAATATTATAGTGCAGTTGATTGCCAAAATATGATTATTATATTTGCTTCCATGTTATTTGAACGTCGTATTATTTTTACTTCTAAAAAACTATATAGATTGAGTGCCTGTGTTCAATCTGCTAATGCAGTTCTATATCCAATGAATTGGCAACATATATTTATACCAGTCTTGCCTCAGTCACTTATTGATTACTTATTAGCACCAATGCCCTACTTGATTGGTTTACCTCACACATTATTCCAAGTAAATATTTGATTTAATTTAAATTTAGTTTTTGTCATAATTATTACTATTTTTGTTATTTTTTAGAATTTGCAGCGTAATGAATTGGGAGAAGTTGTTATTTTAGATGCAGATAACAACACTATTGAAACTCCATTTGATGATTTGGAAAATCTTCCAATAGACGTGGTCAGTAAATACTTAATAAAATATTACTACTGTACTCTGTCACTTTAAAAGTAACCTTAAATAGCAGCAATAGGTATGACGTTTACTGAGTATGCGCTCTCGGGAGTGTCATTTTTTTATTTTAACATTTGTATTGCTTGGATACATTAGTTTAAGATTAACATAGTTGTGTGATTTTTGAATTTGGCCAATTTTTGGAAAACTTTCCTGTGGGTATGGTCATGGTAACAGAACCGAACAAAAATTATTTGCCACCTTGAGTGTAATAAAACAGAATATAAATGAGTTTTTAAGGATAAATATTTAATTTGTTCTAGTTTTTTATGTTATGGAGTTTCATTTAACTTTGAATGATTTTGGTTGTTAAAAAGTTTCAAATAATAAGTTACTATGTATTGATTTGAAATTTAGTTTAGTACATAAAGAAGTAATTTTTTAGTAAATAATAAAAATAATCAATTTCCATATTAATTTGTACTTTATTCAAAATTCTTTTTTCAAATGTTATGGATTATTGATTTAGAATTCAATATTACAACAAATTTAACCCATCACCTAATTGTTATAACTTATTTTAGATCTATTTAATTTTTATTTTAGGTATCAACTTTAAGACAACAATTACGCAAAAAAGGTACACTTTTAGGCGATGGTGTTTCAAGAGCATTTTTACGTGCTTTAGTTAAGTTAATTGGTGGCTATAGAGATGCATTAAAATTTCATCAAGGAGAACGTATAACATTTAATAAAGAAGCATTTATAGAGTCTAGATCATCAAATATGCAACCATTTCTAAAAAAAATGTTGGAATTACAGATTTTTCAACAGGTATAATTATTGTAAATATTTTAAGTAATGATAGTTATTTGTGAAATTAATATTAAATATTAAATTATAATACTTAAAATATATAATTGTTTCAATATTTATTATTTTGCAAATAGTTTATTGAGGAACGATTAGAGATGTTAAATGCAGGACTTGGTTTTTCTGATGAATTTGAAATGGAAGTATGCAATTATCATGAGAAATCTAGTAATAAACTAAAGCATCAGTATAAAGATTGGACATTTACTGTAAAACGTGAAGGAACTGCATTGTATAAAACTGTTAAGAATGCGGTAAGTTAGAAATTTTAAGTTTTGTTTAATTGGGCATTTTAGATATTGTAATTGTTATTGTTTGTCATTATCTTAATATACATGGAAAACATTTTCAGTTTATAAATTAGACAGAGAATATGATTTATAAAAATAAAAAATAAAAATATTAGGTTCATCATTTTGTATGTGGTGCTTATTTATTTTGTAAATTATTATTATAGATTAATAACAATTACAATTTTATTTCTCATCTTATAAAATATTTTAATCCAAAAATACGATTTTGAGACTAATCATTCTAAAATTTTACAAAATTTATTACATAGATAATTTTATCCTGTACTTTAAAGAATATGAATTCAAAAAATGGATTTTTGGAAGTACCTACAATTTTTATAACGCAATTTATACATGGTTTAATTTTTGGTTATGAAGATTTTCTTATAAATAATCAAATTAATCAGATTATTAAATTTTCATTGTTAATTTTCAGGCTAATCCTACAGTAAGAAATGCTGTAAAAACGGTAAATTATTTTCATGTAAAATTTAAACTTTTAAATCATATGATACGTTTTTAGGTTAAAGAACGAGGAAAAGATTTTCGGTCGGCCTATAAAGACATTCGATCAAAATTTAATGTTCCGAACAAAAATCCTCGAACCAAAATTGGAAACCAGCCGAATTCTGCACCAAACTCTCCTTCAATGCAAAAGAGACTATCATGGTCACATACAACAGCATCTGCTAGTTATCGTAAAGAAACGACCAATGGATTACAAAAGTTAACTACATCACAAAAGTTAGTAAATATTGTTATTATTACAGTTTTATTAGATAGTAATTTTTTTTTTTCATAGTTTAAAAGATGCCTCAATTTCTCCATTACCAAAAATTGATTTGAATTTATTAGAAGATCTAGAAAAAGTTATATTCAGAACTTGTGATCCTCATGATCCAGAAAATTATTCAAAATTACATGTATGTTAAATAAATTTAATGATTTTAATTTCTTGATTATTAATTATTTAATCATAAATGAAATATTTTGTGTTCAGGACTGGGATGAGCCATTCAATCCAAAGTTCATCAGAGATAATTTAAACAATCCAGCATATGGATCTGTGCCAAATGAGTGTCCAATGGAAACTAAAGATCTGATTCGATTAGATTCAACACCTAGTATAGATGATTTTGATCCTTTAAATAGTCCAACTAACAGTAATGGTTTGATTCCAGGAGTAGGTCTTAGTAATCCTCTGTATCAATATTTTGTCCCATTAAATAAAAATCAATTAGAAACAAAAAATAATAATGACCTCCTTAACGAGTATGGATTAAACTTTGATTTGTTAAGTTGTTCTGATCAACCAGGTCCATCCATGTCATCAAGTCAATCATCTGTACCACCATTACCACCCAAACCACCTAATTTTAAATCAAACTGGACCAAATTTGAATAAAACTACAAATTAAGAGTTAATTTTATAATCCTTGTGATAAAATACATTTATTTTGCAATTATATTAATTTTAATTTAGTGGTTACCACTTATAATAAATATATTACATTATTGTCCATGTTTAAATTTTATTTAACATTTTGTTTTTTATATATATATATACTCATATATTATTGTTACACCAAATATTAACAAATGGACCAGAATGTGTCTGATTTAGATTGTATAACGCTCATAAATGTAATTGTATATTACATGTTATACATGGTAAAAGATTGTATGTTTGTTTATCATTCATTACTATTTTTTTTTTTTTTTTTTTTTTTGTTGATTGAAAATAAAATAAATAAAAATATATATGAAACAAAGGTCTATAATTTACCATTATTTTGATTTGCTATTAATTATTACATTGGGTAGGTTACTTCAACTATCCAACAGTTTTCATAAACTGGATAAAAAAAAAAAATAAATAACATGCTGTCACACCAAAATTATTCATATTATAAAAAATTTAAGGATGTGAAACCCATAGTTAATTTAAAGTGATAAAATTAATGATTTATTTGGTTCTCTAAAGGCATCTAATATTTTAATTTAAAAATATATTTTTTTATCATAAATGTTTTATTTATTGTGGTAACTTCAACTTACCCGATATTAATTGGGCCAGTGATTCATATGCTTTGGTTTATTCCTCACATTCTCTTATGTGGGGTGTATTCCCCCAAAATGTTTGCATATTATGGTTTTTACCAAACCAACATTATTCACAATTCACTGTTAAACCTTGTTTTCAGTGACAGTGATAAACTTAACATTAGCTGCTTGCTTGACCCATGCATCACCTGGAATTGATATCGTCCAATTTATTTCAACAATGTTTTATCCACTCATCACTTCGTAAATAATTATCTCTCCTATTATCATTACTTCTGTGGTGAAAATTATATATTAATCTTTACTTTTATTGGTAGTCAACTTTTTTAAAATTTATTTGTGAATATTCTACATTTGACTATGTTAAGATTTTTTCTTAAAATTTTATTTTCCTCCTAGTCTTTAAAAAACTAATATATTTATAATTATAAGAATACAATTCATGCCATATTTAAATCTTCATTCAACCACTTGATTACAACGCTTTTACTCTTATTTGTATTAAATGTAAATACAAATGATTTGTATCTAAACGATGTTTTAAAGCTTTTGTAAAACGAATATAAGATTCTCTTATTAAAGAATTAATCAAATTGTGGAATTCATTTGTAAATAAAAATAATCTAAAATTTTAAATTTTAAATGATATTATAGTTAAATAAATACAAATTTTGTATTTTTATTATACTAAATTACTATTGAGTTGAAGCATACATAGTAAATTCATAAATTTTAATAATGTATAAAAATTAATAATATTTGCATTTAATACATAAATAAACTTTCATTCAATAAGTATGGAATAAAAATGTTTTCAATATCACTAAGTATTAAATAAGGAAATTTTTAATCAAGTTATTAAACATAAAATTTTAGATGTTATAGAAAAAACTTATTTAGATAGTACAAGTAAGAGTCTGAATAAATATATTAAATTGTAAAATGTTAAGAATTGGTTATGTATAGAAATTAATCTAGAGATGACTATAAAATAAATAAAAAGCCACATTAAATATAATTTTTAATATTATTGTAAATAAATATTGTACTAAAATATTTAAATAATATAAACATCAATATTATGGTCACAAAATTAAAATAATGAAGTAGAAATATTCTTTTTTTGCAGTTATTTTTTATTCTTCATTCACAATTATGAATTCATTACGTTTAGTACTCCAATTGCTTCAGCGAGTCTATCCAATTCATCCTGAGACTGCTTAAGTTTTTCCTTATTTGCACTTCTTACATCTTCAGGAACTTTAATTTGGTAATCTGCTACATTCATTGCTTTATTTAGTTTCTCTACAGTTTGAGTTAATAGATCACTCTTTTTTTTCAACTTTTCTATTTCCTTAGATGTATCAATCAAGCCCTAGTTAAAACATAAAATAATACTTAGAATAACTTTTTATTTAAAAACAAAAAAAAATAAATTTCACATTAATTGTTTATAACTAACCTTTAATAAAAGATGTACTTGGCATTTATCAGATATAGGTAAGATAGCACATCCATTTGGTATAGATGACACATTTGCAAGTTCTACTTTACTGCAATTAGCAAAAGTAGCAATCTCTAAATTAAATTTAGTTACAGTTTGTAATGTACTTTCATCAGAACAATTAATATATGTTTCAGTTTTTGAACTTTTAGGTACATTATAATCTGATAAAGCCGATCTAATGCTATGAACAATTTTTTGAACCACTTCAACTTCATTTTCGGTTTTTAAATCTCTCCAAGAATATTTTATCTAAAAATAAATATTATATATGTGCATTTTATTATTTATTGTAAATCAAATCATAATTTATTTGATTACACTTACTGTTTCGGGATATACAGCAACAGATATACTAGGATATCTAGTAATATTAGAGTGTGGCAATCGCTGATAAAGTTCTTCAGTAATGAATGGCATAAATGGTGATAATAATCTCAATCCTGTGTCCAAACAGCAAAATAATACATTTTGAACAGTACTAATCTTATTTATATCATTAGATGCAAATACTGGTTTTAGTGATTCCTAAAATTGATATTTATAATATTATTTCTGTTTAAACTTAAATATTACTCAAAATTACCAGGTACACATCACATAAATCATACAACCAAAAATTGTAGCACGCAGTTGTTGCACCATTTAGTTCATAGTTTTCAAACGAAATATTACACAATTCTACAGCTAATGACAAGCGACTCAAAATCCATATATCCATGTTGTTTAAGTTTATAACCTATTAAAAATTACAGATAATAGTTACATTTTTTTTATATAAATTTATATATTTTTAAAATTCATTACAAAAATTAAATTAAATATTTAAATTTATTACCTCTGATATCGGGGAAGGTACAAATTCTTTTTTAAAATACATAAGTGCAAACTTTATGGCGTTCCAAAGTTTATTACAGAAAAAACGATAACCCTGTACCCGGAGAATACTCAAATTTATATCATGACCTGTAAAACAATAGTTATGTTGAGTTCATAAATAACAATTACATTCCAAAATATTATAAATCAAAAACATGATTTATTCGCTCATGATTGATCGATTTTTATTCAACTTAACAATAAAATTATGATTGTGTAAATACTAAATTGTAATATACATACCTTGGGACATGTATGAACATAAAGCAAAACGTAATGCATCTGTACCACATTCTGGGATTCCATTAGGATAGTCTTGTTTTTGTCCTGCTTTAGCCTTTTCTATTTCTTTTGGGTCCAAGTTACTGTCAGAAAGTTGTTTGTTTAAATCCTCTAATGAAATACCTTTAATAACATCTATGGGATCAACAACATTACCCAATGATTTGCTCATTTTACGGCCATGAGCATCACGTACAATGGAATGCAAAAAGATTTTCCTGATAATAAACATTAAGAAAATATTTTAAAGTTAGGTAAATTAAAGATTATATTACTTGAATCGGTTCTAATCATAATTAGTAAATCAATTTTGAAATTAATTCAGTTAAATTATAACTATTTTTAATTTTTAATATGTCTCACATTGAATTGTCTCTTTAATATCAGTAACAATATATATAAGTAATAACAAATAGCTTTTATACCATCAAATAAATCAAAATAAATAAATATAAGTTATTTTTTTAAGCACATCTCATACAATGATGAACAAAATGTTATATTATTTTTAATTTTATATCACTAATTATTACTTTTTTGTAGCATGAAGAGACTCTACTACTCTATAAGTTATCAAATTAAATTAAACAGTTAAAGGTCACAATGCAATAAAATTGTGTTGTATAATTATATGATATATATAGTATGTCAATTAAATTATTACTACAGTTTAGACTAGACTTAAACCAGTAAAATACAACAATAACATATAACTAATATGCTCCCATTTTCATTTTCAAGCAAATATAAAATCTAAAGTACATATTTAAAATGTATTATGTGAAATGTAATAATTATATTTTTATACGATGCTTCAAGAAAACATTGGTAATAAATGTAAATTTTTTAATTTCTAATATAATTTTTAATTACTTTAAGTATATGGTAAATTAAATTTTTACTTACTTAAATGGCAAACAACCCATTAAACGCTGAGAGAAGAAAACCATGCGAGCTACCCAAAAGAATAAGATATCATAACCAGTTTCTAATAGGGTGCCGGGGAAAAACATCTTTAAATCATCCGTCTTATAATAATAAAGAAATAATATGTATTATTAAATGTACTTATATTGTATATTAAATTGGATTTAAATTAATTACTTTATCAGGCCATCCAAATATCGAAAATGGAAATAGAGCTGACGAAAACCAAGTGTCTAAAACATCTTCATCTTGTCGAAGTGTAATATTTTCTTTTGGAACATTGAATTTTTTTACTGCTTTTAGTAATGCTTCTTCTGAAGAATATGCACTCACCCAACAATCATTCTCATTAATCTAAAATAATAAATTATATAGAATAAATTTGTTTTGTGTTACTTTAAAACTTACAAAATTTGGAGATTGATTATCAATGGTAACAAAATAAGCAGGAATTCTATGCCCCCACCAAAGTTGTCTAGATATACACCAGTCTCTGAAAAACCAAAATTTGTTTATATGATTTTTACTTGTTAATATTTTATAATTACCTAATATTATCCATCCAATGAAACCAAGTTTTATTATGTTGAGATGGTATAATTGTGAGATCACCATTTTTGACGGCTTCTGATGCTTGTTTAGCCATTTGGTCACAACGAATGTACCATTGTGGTTTAATGAGTGGTTCAACAACATCCTTGGATCGACTACAAACGGGTACAACCATTGGATTGTCAACAGTTTCACAATAAAGATTCTTTTTTTTTAATGCTTGTAAAATAGCTTTACGTGCTTCAAATCGTTTCATTCCCTTTAATATAAAACTTTAGTAAAATTTTAAGTTGACAAGTATTGTATTAAAAAAAAACACATACATTAAATTCGATACAATCACCAATAATTACACCATCATCATTAAATATTGTTATAAACGGTAGGTTGTGGCGTTTACCAATTTCATAGTCATTAGGATCATGAGCAGGAGTTATTTTTACCGCACCTAAATTAAATTATTAGAATATTGTAATATTATTAAAATACATAATTTTTGGAAAACTTACCAGTTCCAAAGTCTTTTTCAACATAATTGTCACAAACTATTGGCAATTTCCTGTCACAAAATGGATGTTGCACAAATTTACCATGTAAGTGTCGGTATCTAGGATCAGATGGGTGAACAGCTACAGCTGTATCTCCTACAATAGTTTCAACTCTAGTAGTAGCTACAATAATTTTCTCGTCTTCTCCTATGACTTTATAAGCAAATGATACAAGAACACCGAATTCAACTTTTTCTTCATAACCTGGTATAGATAGAAAAGTTCGACCAGGCAGTTCAATTTTGTCTACCTATTATACAGAAAGAATTTATGTAAAAATAAATTTTACAATACTTAAGTTGTATTAAAAATGTAAATTAACCTCAATATCAGAAATAGCACTTTTTAAAGCGCATGACCAATTTACAAGACGGTTACTTCTATATATATCACCACTTTCATGTAAACGTATAAAAGCCTCTGTGACTGCACGACTAAGTTTAGGGTCCATAGTAAAACATGCACGGTCCCAATCCAATGAAGATCCTAATAACTTTAGTTGTGTATATATACGATCACCTTTCCTAAGATACAATTATATTTTATGAAATAATGGTCTACAATATTAGTGTTTTAAGTCAAAGATTTTAATTTATTCTTCATTCAATACTTACTCTTTTTTCCAGTCCCATATTTTCTCAATAAACTTTTCACGACCAATATCATGTCTATTTTTTTTTTCTTCACGCCATAATTTTTTTTCGACTACTACTTGAGTTGCAATTCCTGCATGGTCACAGCCAGGATTCCATAAAGTAGTTTTTCCATTCATTCGATTCCTAGTAAATGTTGAATATTAAATGATAATTTAAATATCTTTTATAGCTTTATATTGAAATTAGAATTCAAGGAATAATTATAGAAATATTTAAAATATATTTACCATCGAGTAATTGCATCCTCCACTGCATTAGTGAGAGCATGTCCTAAATGTAAAGATCCTGTCACATTAGGAGGAGGAATAATCATAACAAATTTTCCTTTAGGGTTATCTTCCAATACATTTTTTTTCTAAATTTTAAAACAGATATACATACACATTAAGAATGAACATGCTGATATAAGACCATAAGGACATTGTATATATCTAAGTAAAAGTTAATATAAATTGTTTTTAATTATTTAAAATTATTTTATTTTGTAAAAACATAAAAAACTATTTTTAATGTCTAAGGTATATCCCATATTCTGGTTTGAAAAATCCTTCTTTTTCCCACCAGCTATACCATGCAGCTTCTACATATCCAGGGCTATATGAATCAGGCATTGGGCACAAAACATCTTTTTTTTCACCAGGTTTAGTATTCTGAGTATACACTGCTACTCCTTTTTCTTTTTTAACTGGCTCTTTTTTTTCTTTTTTCTAACATAAACAAATACATGATTAAGTTTGCATGAAATTTCAGTTTAATGTAAGTAACCTATTAATTCAATATTTTTACGTAGATACAGTATATTTAATACTTTATATTAATGTTTATTATATGAGAAACAAAATGTGTCATGTACATATAAGAGCTGAAATTGGAATACATACTTCTTCTTTTGGTGTATTCTGTTTTTGATCTTGTTTTTGTTTAAACTTTTCCAATTTGGCTAACTTCTTGGCTTCTTTTTCTAATTGCTTGGCTGTTTTTACTGGTGGCTCTTCCATGGTAGTTTATTTAATATGACTATAATAATTAAAACCGTAATTTTACATAAGTAAAAATATAAACGTACTGATACTTTAATATTTAGTAAATAACCTAAAATAATATGTACAAGGAGGTTTATCTAAAGACTTACAGGGACAGTAATTTAAAAATGCTACGAATACGAAGTATCAAATATTTGACCAGAAAATAACATAAATATAATTATCGAAGATCGTACCACTGCCACACGGCATTCACGAGTCACGATTCAGTGAACTGTATGTCTGTATAGCTCTAACCACATTACCACATGAATTAAGCAGTTTATAGGTATGGTACTATGGTCATTGCTCTGTTGACTGCACAGATATAATATCTGACATCTGTGGTTGACTGTTTCTGAAAGCATCTCTTATCACAAAGACTACTCTTTTTTTGTTGTTGCTTTAGTCTGCTAGAGGTAGACAGTGTTAGCATAGAATGATTCTGTGGTAGTTTTAACTTTTATCTATTACTGAGCGGTAAACAGGAATAAAATCCATAGTAATAAGTAGAGCCCGGAACTTGATGGCCTAAAAATCTTTAAAAAATAACCCTAAAAGTACTTAAAAATAAAAAAACATTTTCAAAAATTACGTTTTTTTTAATAATAAATCATAAAAAAAAAAATCGTTTATGAATTAATAATTTTTATTTAATTCATATAAATTTAAACAATGCTAATATTTTTATACATTAAATATGTGTTTTTTACAGACTATAGGGTCTTAATTGAATTTAAAACAGTAATTAGTAATAATGTCAATCAGTAATACAAAATAATTACAAAAAAAAAAATCGATATTTTTAGAAAAATAATTGACTGATTAGGCTGTACAATACATTAGTTTTTTCAAATATTTAGTTTTGTCAAAATAATATAAAAAAAAAAAATGTAAAAAATGCAAATGTATCTTCTAAAATGCAAAAAATGCATCAAAATCAGTAAAAAAAAATGACCGTATAACCAAAAATTACCGAAAATGGTTCCATTGAATTTTACAAATTTTAAGTCACATATCTGTAAATACAAGCCTTGTATAAACGCATTAGAAAAAAAGATGAAAATGCATTAAGTTCCGGGCCTTAATAATAACTAATAAGTAATAAGTGATATTGTAATAACTAATAATTTCTCAAATTTTTATTTTTATTTATTAATTTTAAATTAAATGATGAAATTATTGGTTATATAACAATAATTGTTATTGTGATTGCCATTATCTTTAAAATAGTAGAATAATAGCAAATAATAATGTTTCAAACATTGACTTGAGAGGTAATTTGTGTTAGCAAACTTGATCTAAATCGCACTTTTTTTGGTTAGGGGTGTTAAATAGTATAAAAATAGAATATATTAAATTTAATAAATTCTGTTATATGTTAATTATTTAAATTAAAGAATCTAACTTTCTCTGTACCTAATTTTCAAAATAAACAAGAAAAATGAAAATTTTTATGCCAATCCTGTTTATAAAACAAATTAAATTTTTTTTTTAATTGTTAGTCAAAGGAGGATGATTTTAAACATGGATTTTTCACCAAATATTTATTTAAACATTTTTTATGCTTTATTTAGGTATATTTTCATAACTAATGGAAAATTATTGATAATACAAGGTTCCTAATCAGTTATTAAATTTTTAATTTTAACACTTAAGTTTTCAACTTGTACAGGAATCATTATAAGTTTTTGTTATTGGAACTAAAAAAAAAAAAAAAAAAAATAAATATACAGGGTCCAGAAAAAAAATCTCCCGTATTTAGAGATCGCGTTGTGTGAATTGTTGTGATGGTACAATTATGGAGATTGGAGAAGGTATTGATCGATAGCTGTATAAATGCCATTTTTAGTAGGCGTAATGATGTGGATCATTGAAGATCACGCATTTGTCATAGAGGAGTATATTTGTATTGGTGGTTTTGCGATTTCTAGTCAGCAAGCATTTCGTATCCTATTACAACTTGACCGACACGTCTTCCGGTGTTGTTGTGGTCAAAGGGTGGCTAGACAGTTTTTTTCTTCAGTGTAGAACCCGTTATTCTAAAATTGGACACCTAAACGAGCATTGTTTTTCTATTAGGAACAAAATCATGTCGGTCAAGTTAGAACAGGATGCGAAATGCTAGCTGACTAGAAATCACAGAACCACCATTACAAATATACTCCTCTAAGACAAATGCGCGATTTTTAATGATTCACATTATTACGCCTACTAAAAATGGCACGTACACAGCTATCGATCGATACCCTTTCCTTAGTTGTACCACCACCACAACTCACACAGCGCAATCTCTAAATACGGGAGGTTTTTTTTTGCCAGACCCTGTATTTAAGCAACTAAACACACTTTTTGTGAGGAATATTTGTAGCTTTAATCTTTACGATATTGCATAATTCAAATAATATAAGTATAAAAACTTACAATAATAATTTTATCAACTCAATGCAATTTTAGCAATTTATGAGATTGGTTAAAATGTTCTAACATTTAATACTAGATTTCACATAAATTGTTCTTATATTTTCTATTTTAATTATGAAAGATTGAAAGTTTTTAATATGTCAATAGGAAAAGGTATACTGAGAATCATTAAAAATGTTTACCAGAGCATTTTGAAATGATTTCTAACATGAATCATTTTCTGGAATGCTATAATTTATTGGTATTTTTAATTTAAATACTAGTTATTATACAAATAATCAATTGCGTACAAGAATATGAGAAAGGAATATTACATTTCATCACTTTTAACATAAACCTAATTGGATTTTATTTTAGATTATTAGTTAACTCAATTGATAGTTAATATTAAAAGGCATTTCATTAATATAATAAAAATAAAGAAACCATTAAATTTTTTTATTACCAAATTATTTTATTATTCCATTGAATACAATATAATAAATATAATGAATTAAAATATAATTTATTATATTATACATGTGTATTTAAATATAAAAAAAAAATATTATTACTGCAGTATTTTTATTTCACCAAAAATTTAATCTTTACGAAGTTGAACTACACCCGTCTTGATTCCATCTTTTTTAATTATATTATATACTACTTCATCTCCAGTGTATATATCACGTTCTCCAGCGGCAGTAAATGCATCTTTCACCAAGCTTAATGCTTCTTCTTCAGTAACAGGGTTATCAGCAGTACGGTTTCCCAACTAACAAAATAAAGTAATTTAATACAATCATATAATTAATAAAAATTGATACATTATTTGTATTTATTATATAATTTTAGTACACAACTATGTTTATTTTAATATTGTTAAATTCAATATAAATATTCTATAAACACATAAATATTTAAAATATAACCACTTATAGATATATAAATGGGCACCAGATAGTTTTTAATTAGGAACATTAATATAATATGTTTAAAATGTTACAAACCTATGACATAAATGTCAAATGTATACAAATGTATATAACGAATATTGTATTGTATGGCGACACGTATTATACAAGTAAGGTCAAGAAAAATTGAAATTTATAGTCCAAGGAAAAGGATTAGAGTCGATACGAATATTAAATCTTAATGTAAGACTACTAGTGTAAACAAAGTTGTCACCACCACTTGTTATGAATCGATCATATTATAAATGGGAGATCGGTAAACGAGCTCAAGAACAGTTAGAGATATTCGAGACATTCAGAGGTAGGATCTAATAAAAATGTTAGTTATCTTTAAGTTTTAAATATGTTGCTGAACACTTACCTGTTTGCATTGAGGCAAATAAAAAGAAAATATATTTGATAGATAGCTTATTTACTAAATAAATGTTGTGATAATTAACTTATTTGAAGAATTCTTCACAAAAAGGTACGTTCAATTAAAGTAAAAAGAATTTAAAACATAACTTACCCAACTATCCAAAAACGGTTGCATGAGAACACCCGAACTGCCACCAGCAGTGTAATTCACTTTTTCACAATGGCCAACAGGATCATAACTGTATAAACAACCTTCACCATTATTATCGAGTCCAGCAAGTACATTGTACACATAGTAAGGGAAAAAACGTCTGCTGTACAACAAAGTAGATAGAAGTTGTGCAATAGAATTAGGCTGCATTATTGTGTTGTGATCGTATAAATATGACTGAAAAAATATTGCATTTAAATAAGCATAAATGTTTTATAATAAAAAATAATATTTTTTACCTTCAATTGAGACTGAATAATATTGGTCAATGATAATGTGTCACACCAACACCCTGTGCACCCAAGAACAGATTTGTCAGACAGTTGGAATAACTTTGATTGTTTACGTGTATAAATCATAAAGCCTTCACTAAGACGCGTGTCAGATGCAACAATTGCAAAATCCTTACCACTAATGGCAACAATTGAACTGTAGGTGTTTAAAAATAATTATTAGGTGGTATTTATCATAAATAATAATTTAAGTTAAAACAAAAAAAAGATCATCATATTTGTAACTTACCCTCCATTACTCGCATATGGTTCAAAGTTACGAGCTTTAGGTGCTCCTCTATCAATAATTGTATCCATATTTTAGAATTGCGACTTGAAATCAACTTCAAATATTTGAAAGTAGGTATTTTAAATTTAAAGTAAATGTATAACTTGATTATTGATTACACTTGAGACAGTTTGTTATTATAATGGCAAAATGACGAGTTAAAAAATATCTCACATCGAACCTAACCTAAAAATAATCAAAATAGTTGTTATCACATTATCACTACCAAGTTATAACACAATAACGTAAACATTATTTATGCAGCAATACCGCTGCTAAGATCTGAGACTGACTGAGACTTGAGTCCTGACCATAGGGTAAAAATTTATCAAGAAATTCGTAGTCTTTACCCTTTAAAAAAAAATAAATAACTTTCAAGATCGTTACGAAATCTATTATTTCTAGATTTCTTTTTATATTATTGAATAATTCTTGAATATATTGTTTAATTATTACACCTTTTATAGTGTCTTTAATTATCTTAATTTTTTTATAGAGAAGGATGAGATTTGTCTTGTCCTATCAGTATATTAGCATATCACATCATCTGATTCGTTGACAGACTAAAAATGTTCGTTTAATCTGTTGTAAAATACGATATCAGTTATCAGTTTATGTTTATATCACTCGCTGACCATTCTTATGAGTTAAGAGTGTTAAGACTTTAATATTTATGAAAGGGTTAAATAATAAGTAATAAGTATATAGTATTGTTTTAATAAACTACAATCGATATTTATCAGCATTGAGTATATTTTAGAGATAAGTAATTTTAATTGATTCAATATAATTTGTACTTTTTAGTTGATACATGCAAATTATTATTTATGCTTTTAATGACACCAAATTAAAATAATTATTAGGTTTAGAAGAAAATATAATACCCAAGTTAGTCAAGAAATGACGAATTACGAATACAATTATTACAACTTGAGGGGTTTAATAAATTAAGAAACCGATTAAAACGAATCAGAATACTAAAAATAATATACTACAATAATACTAACTGCTACAGACAGATTGAATGGTTAACTTGCTCAAAGACAGGTAAAATACATTATTTTAAATCATTAAGTATAATAACTAACTGTTGTACCAAAGCTTTTTTAAATCACCTAGTGGTACCCACTACCTACCTACCAAAAAAAAAAAAAAAACAGTTTTTTTTTTATATTTATAAATTATCTATAGATTGTATACCTTATTCTCTAATTAATTAAATAATATAAGTATTTAGCAAATGTTTTACCGTAAAAGTAATTTTAAATTTGTTTTTATTCGTATACTATTTATAGTAAATTATTACATATCATGTATTTATCATTCCATCTAATACCTGAAGATTTAAGAAACTTACCTCAATTGTAACTGGTATTAGATATTGCTGACAACTAACTACATGACTACTTTAAATTTAATTAATAAATATTAGATATCTTAGAATTTATTGTTTATTAAATATTTTTAGTAATAGTAACAAATAAAATATAATATTGATGCAATTATTATAATATGTTAAGACTGTTTTTTTTTTGTTTTCATTTCAAAACGGTTTGAGTATTTATTTGCTTTTTCTGTTGTATTATATTAAGTTTGAAATTTTAATTATTAAATTATAAATAGTAAAAAAAATGTCATAAAATACATCAAGTATCTACTAAATTTTTAATTCATACTAGGTTAAATAATATATTTATTTTTGTTTGTATGCTGTATCAAATACCAGGCCAAAGTAGTCATTAATCAAAAGTAGGTAGGCAACTAAATTTTTCAAGAAGAATAATTTGAAATAGTAGTTTTGCACCGATTTGTATCAAGGTTTGATTTTGATACTAATCAGTTTATAGACATGTAATTAATTGAATGCTTAATTTGTACCTAAATCGTATCAATACATTATCATGTAATTTAATGTAAAAAATTTAAATTAAAAAATATATTATGCATTGATAAATGTATAAAAAGTATTATGTTATTGTTGGTAATAGATTAAAAATAAAGTACTTTGTTGGTTTATGTTGAGATATAAATTCTCCATAGGTACTCAGTACTTAATACCCAGCCTTTTGAGTACTTCTTTTATTTCTAATTGCACAAATTAGAATTAAATATCTTTTTTTTCTAATTTTTATTTATTTTTTATTTATTTATAGTTACCTAATCAAATTTTCTGTACATTTCAATAAAATAATATACATCTGACTGGTACTGGTTACTGTTACGTGCTAAGTAGTATAAATTGTTATTTCTTTTTAAATTAGTAATTAATTGGTAGATAAAAATAGAGCTAATAAAAATGTGTGTTTATTTCAATGAAGTCTATTACTGAATATTTTAATTGTTTGATGTACTTATTCACGCCTACTGTAAGTCATAAGTTGTATTTTAATTCACCTAAGTCCAAAAAAAAAGTTCATTGTTTTGAATACTAGGTATTTATGAGATCTAATAAAATGATGAGATATCTATAAAGAATATAATAATTTTAAATTTATGTTTATTATGATTTATGACATTTAGACATATTAGGTTAAATGAATAACGTTACTGAAATAATTTTGTATAGAATATTTTTTGACTATTTTGTCAATGTCAGAAATTTTTTGATACAGGTTTTTGTATAAAGTTATATAGATATATATAATTAACATTTACATTTATAGATTTTGCTATCTTCGGCTTCTTTTAATTATAGACTTGGGCTTAAAGATAATATTATAAGTTTCTGTATACCTAGTATAAGTGTGATACAGGAGATATATTTTAATCAGTGTTACATATCCCATTATAATAAATAGTAGTGTAATACTTGAAAAATAAACTTGTATTTTTATATATTTAATTTATGTTCTAAATTAAAATGTTTGATTGTGTTGTTATTGAAAACTTTTATAATTATTTTCAGAAGTATTAACTAAAATGAATCGTCAAGCATTTAAGTTGATAACATTTGATATAACTGGTACATTATTAAAATATCGAAGTTCTCCTGCTGTAGAATACTCTAATGTTTTAAATAAATATGGATTAGAAGTAAAATTATCAACTCTTGAACATTTGATTAATAAAAATTGGACATTTATGACAAAAGCACATCCAAATTTTGGTCTTTATACTGGACTTAAATGGGAAAACTATTGGAGAACTTATGCAGAAAATGTTTTTAGTAAAGCATTTCAGATAGAAAATATCTCATACCATGTACCTTTGATAGTTTTAATTGATGATTTGATGATGACATATAGTACAGGAGAAACATTTGAAGTACAGAATGGAGCAATTGAGTTATTGGAGTATTTGAAAAATGAACAAATACCTTTGGGAGTTTTGACTAATTATGACCCAAGAATTAAATCTATGATAACAAATCTTGGTCTCTCTCATTATTTTAAATTTATTCTGTCATCATATGAAGTAAGGTCAGAAAAGCCAGATATTAAAATATTTAGAAAAGCAGAATCATATATTGAAAAAGGTTTAAATCGTAAGTTATTTTTGCATATTGGTGACTCTTATTTGTTGGACTTTAAAGGTGCAAAAAATGCTGGATGGTCTGCATGTTTAGTTCATACAGATAAAAATATAATTGAACAATATCCATCTTTAAGTGGTTGTATATTTGACAATTTTACAGCTTTAAAAATGTTTTTAATATCATGCAATTCAAAAAAAATGTATTCTGAACAATAGAATTATTATTTTGAAAATTTTTATCCTTTAAATTATGTTGAACATTTTGTCTTTTGTTGATTATGTTTTTTTTAGAAGAATTAACTAATAAAACACTTCTGTTTACCTATTAATAGTTATTTATTTTTAATTGTAAAATATATAATTTATTTTCTTAAATGAATATGAGCTGTATGGAATAAATGTATTATAACTTTAATTTAATATTTATCATTTTAATTTTTTTAAGTATTTTAAGATTATATAAAATTTAAGAATAATAGTTTTTTATTTGTTTTTGAAGTTTTGCTTTGTAATTATATTGATATATCTCTGTATGATTAATTCCTGATTTTTTTTCTTCGACAATTATTGTTTTTCATCCTATTATCGTAATCTACTGAATTATAGTTAGTAAATTTTATTGCCAATTTAAACATGAATATATTTTTTCAATAATTATATGGCCACTATTACCTAATTAAGAAGTTTTTACAAAAGTAAGTTTTATTTTTTGTTAGCCCAATTTGTTTTTATCAAATATTGATATGTATAACTAAGTGGTATGTATTTTAGTGTACTTATAATTGAATAATAATTAAAACATTTTTTTATTTAATACTCCAGTATAAAATTTTCATTTTCTAAAATCTCTTTATTATAATAGTTTTATTTTTACAAATTGTTTACACATTTTATGCATTTATATACATATATATTTTTAAATTTAACTGTATATATATATATATATATATATATATATATATATGTAATATATAAATTTGTTTTCTATTAAAAATAATACATCAAGTAACATTGATGAATACTAATTACTAAAAATCAACAATATATATCTACAAATTTAGAATTAAATTTTTTGATAATTAGTACTTAATTTTTTACCATTTTTCATAAAAATTACAAAAAAATCAACGAAAGTTTTAATTTTTGATATAACTACTTAGTCTTTTTGTTTGACAAATGTAGCTATTATTATTATTATTATTATTATATTATTATTCTGTAGACCTAATACATAATAAATTATTTTAAAACAATATTATTGCAAAATTGACTATTTAATAATGTATGTTTTGCATATTTTAAAATACATAATATACAGGAGAATAAAAAAAAATTGTAAGAAGTTTTCTTTGGGAAAAACATTGTAAATTCCTTGTCCTTAACATTTAATAATAGTACGGTTTCTCAGTCATCATGAGCTTTGTTTAAAATTTTGTTTATAATTTACAAAAAAATTATTTAATTTCGAGTTTATGTACAAATGAACAAAATGTATAAATATTCAATAAAAACGATAACAATATTTACAAAGAACGCATATTCGTTTACACTAAATACGGTACCTACACAGTATAAATATTATTGATATTGATGAATTTTATTTTTAATTGAATATGTTTTTTTTTTAATTGTTATGAATTTAAATTTTATATTTTAAGTATCACTAGGTATCTGATTTTATTTATGATAATACGAAGAGCCTATCATAACATGAAAACATTAATTTACTATTTAAACAATAATTAAGTGTTTGTAAATGAACCTACTACATGTTAAACCTTAATTAGGAATCTATTTTTTAATGTAAAATTTAAAAGAAATTTTTCGTAAAAAAAATATAATATTAATAATTATAATATGATGTGAAAATCATATAATATAATCATGGAGCACCAATAATAGGCCTACAATTATTTGTATAATATACAACTTAGCTATGTGTACGTCTTATGTGCGCATAGAAAATTATAACAAAAAGATTTAATTAATGTATGGTTAATTATTATTGATATAATACCTATTAATTATTAACTTGGTAATTGGCTGGTCCGAACTTGCATACATACAATTTATACATTATGTAATACCATTCCGTATAAGAAATAATTAAACGTCCATTTCAAATTTAGTAATATCGGATAATCATGAAAATTAAATGGTTATTAAAGAATTGTATCTTTAAAAAAGTATAAAAAATTTTATGGTTTAGGCGTTACTACGTGGGCATATAGTAACACAATATTTATTTAAATTTCAAAACAACGAAAAGATTATACCCCGCGAATGTAATTATTTGTTTATCACGTTTTTATATTCATATTTTAGTTTTAGTGTATTACTTAATATTTTTTAATTTTTAACGCAATTATCCTTAATATTATATTGTTTCTATTATTATCTGATAGTTGAGCGTAAAATTAAGCCGGATGTATTTTTTTTCTTTTTAAATTGTGTGATACATTTAAATAGACGTTCATTATTTGGTATGTTGATTCATTTTATATAATTGTGAACTGTATTTTTTGATATTTTTTTTTAACTTTAGGTGTACTTATTTGAAGTTTAGATACACACTCGTACATAAGGAATGCACATTGTAATTAGGTCGTGATATAGCTAGATTTAAAAAAACAATTAGGTATTATGTTAAATTTACTCGATAAACCCATAAAAATTATTTAAATAATTTGCATAATTTTTAAATACCTACTACACAATATAATTTCTTGTATTATTTATGTGGCATTATGACTGAAAATAATTGTGTATCATATAATATGTAAACAGGGAAAATATAATAAGTGTATATAATTTATCTAAACCGGATGATTACTTAATCTAACAATATTAATAATTTTTTAAAAAAAAACTATCAAATTTTAGAAAATAATTTTTTGCGTAGATAATTACAAGTAATCGAAAAACAATATAAATGAAAAAAAGATATTATTTAGGATTTTTACTTTTTATAATGACAGTACACATTTTAATTCCTTATTGCAAAGTATAATATTTTTTGGAGTACTTTAAATTTTAAACGAATATCATCGAAGCAGTTTATATATTATAATAAGAATTTTAAGTAGATTGATATAGTTAGCCAACTGGAATGGCGCAGTAAAACACCGAAAAATGTTGGTCTGCGAGTATTACTGCTCAATTTATCTAAGTTATAAATACTAACCTAAAACTAATTAATTACTCGTATGAAATTTGATTTGAAATATTCCGAATAATGTGTTGCTTTGGAATATGGAATTAAAAATGTGGATATCTTGTCATTCAAAAAATTAAAAAACTTAATGTAGTTAACGATAATAAATAATGCAAAATATAATTATTTTTTTAAAAATGTTGTTTTGTAACACCTTGAAACAATGAAAATTTTTTTTTTTAAAGTTATAAATAAGTATTATTTATAACTTGGTATAGGTGATTTATAAATAATATTCAATAGATAATGGTGAAATATCGCTAAAGGACGTTAATTGGTATTTAGCATTAATACGTAATAATCAAAAGCAGGTACCAAATTATAGATCTACTGATTACCGGCTGTAATATAAAATATGATTACCAAAATTATCGTCATTAATAGATAGTTGGCTTTATCTGTAGATCATGTTATATATTTATAGGTACATAGAAGATATGACTTGGCATATGATCTAACTTTTAAGGTTTTATCTTTTGAATTCGCTTGATTATAGAAGGTAGGTTATCCTAACGTATAAAAGGGTAGGTATTAGGTATATTATGGTTGTTATATTTTAATAATAAAATATAATAATGAAAAAAAGATCGAAATTGTCTTACGAATAAGCCTTACATATAATATAATATGTTCTATTTTTTTTTTTTTATTATAATGTATGTTATACATATTTGTTAAATATTTTTTGTTGATACAACGTTTTGTTCTAGTTTATTATTATTATTTATAATAATAACAATAATATTTTAATAATAATAATAATAATAATAATAATAATAATAATAATAATATGCATATAATAATAATATATATGCGACGGTTTAGTCCATTTGGCAAACGTGGTTACTGAGCGTGTGACTCGATCGGCGAGTTACGTTCGGAGACGTCATCATGAGGGAACTGCCAGTGTTGACGCATACAGCACACACCTCCGGGTCCGTCGGAGAGTGTTGTACTGGTGCTGTTTTGTGTAAGTGCCATGAAACAATAATAAAAAAAACATAACATTAAAATAGGAAATTAACAACATTCAAGCTAATGAATAATAGTATGGTACATTTTGCGTCGGTTGCTGTGGAGTTACACATATTTTATCCTCCCTCTCTTTTATTCATACACATACACACAACACTGTATTGGTCAAACTATGACAACACATGGGGGGTGTAGGGTCTTCTTAAAAAAAAAATTGAACGAAGCCAATGGCTTAAAAATAATAATATTATAACATAGTCGTATAGCTTTCCTGAGATAATATAAATAAAAATAGGTGTAATAATATATACTATATTATATAAACTTACATATTTTGTATCTTTAAATAATTATCTCTTATATTATAGTTTATAAAGTTTTCAGGAATCATATTTGTAAAATATTTAAAAAAAAATATTTAAGTTCTTTGCAAATAATATAATAAAAATGAAATAAAATTATAATTATTATTATAAGTATATTATGTATGCATGTAGGCGCGTGGTGTTATTGATCGGTCATTGATAAATAGTCAATAGATACCTATCAGAGATGACTAATTTAACGACCACCCTTCGAGTTTAACCATTTTTGAAACTTCATTTTTTTATGCCGGTACGTATTTTTAAGTTACAAGAATCTTTCAACTTTTCCCACCAGAGATTTCAGTGCATAATATGTTATATAACTCATACTATACATTTAAATTTATAAACTATAATGGTTACTTCAGTGAACGAGTTCTGTCTCAAACCATTTTAGATGCAGGTGCAAAATAAAATATTAAATTATATTAAATGGTACGCAATAAAACATTATATCAGTACCAATTAATTACCTATATGATAGTTTTTGGTTTTATTTTTAGATTTTAAAAATTACATATTATACATAAATTATAGTAAGTAAACATTCCGTCAATTATTTTTTACGAGGATAAAAATGAATAGTAACTACCAAGTTACCTACTTTTCCATTATATTTTATCATTATAATTATTCAATTAATATATTAAATCATAGAAAAACGGTTTAATAGTTTATTTGAAAAAATTAAGTTATAGGTATAGCATCACGTCATATGAATATTAAATAGCGTCTACTTATCTTTCATAATATTTTTATGATAAACTTTAGAATCAATAAACACAAAAAAACTTTTATTTAAAAATTAAATTACGTTTTTAATAAAGTTTAAGTGCCTACTACCTCCTACCTATACTTACATTTCAAAATTATAGAAAATATTTTAAGAATTTTGAGTTGATAAATAATATAAATTATAAGTATAGATATTATACCTAAGTAAAGTCTACACATTTATAAAAAATGCAAATAAAATAACAGGCTGTATAATGCTTATCTACAACGAGATTTTTATTAGTTATTTTTGGAAATAAACTGTCAGTATTATTATTTTTTAATTGTCATTCAAATAATAGATACCTATACGTCAATCAAGAAATTTAGAATATTATAGCATGTAATTATGACAATGATATTTTGTATGTACTTACATAAATAATAAGAAACATGCAACATTACCCAAAAAATATATATAAAAAGCATAGACAAGAAATCAACGAGATATTTATGTATATATTAAGCAAATATTCTATGTTTTGCAGGATTTTGGGTATGACTAAGCTAACGAAAAACGAGAAGTTATTTTGTAGGTGTATAAATTCAATACGCGTTATCATTTATAATATAGCACTACTAATATGATTTATTTAAATTTTCTTCAAAATTAAAATGTAAGAAAAGTGTATGTAGATATATATATAAACAAAAAAGAACCGATTGAGCTTACATGAGTCTGGCAAAGGTTTCTCCTCAGCCACCATTAATGATGCCCTTTCGGAGGGCGGTAAATGCTCGTCTAACGCGTTTGAATAGTTTAACATACTCCTGTGAACAATGTTTAATACTGGATATTTGTTTTTGTTTCCATTTAAGTACGTAGTAATTCTGCTATTTGGTATAAAATATTAGTGGTAAGTATATCAATATAAAATAAATCAATGCTGAATAAAATCAAAAAATAATATAATGATGTACAAAAGAATAAATACATAAAATAATTTTTGATGAAGTCTAACGTCTTAAATAAATAAATAATACTAAATAATAATAAAATAATAATTGTTAATCATAATATTTATTATGTTATTGTATGTTGGGAATATAAGTAGCGTATTTATCCGCGTTTAACGGTGTGTCCTCTGGTTTCACTAAGGTGATCGTGGACGTAGTTTTACTAGCCTCGATCTCTACCAAACTGAAAATATATATAAAATAAATAATAATAATAATAATAAGGAACAACTCAAAATAAATATATCTAATAACAAATAAAAATAAAATAACACATGCATTAAAGAACTAAAGAATAGTCACGTTAATGTATGCAAAGCCAACACCTTTTAATCATATTTTATTAGAATATATATATATATTTTATAAATATATATAATAGAATAAAAGTGCATTTTTATAAATTAGTATAAGTACCATAAAATATTTTATTAGTGAAGAAACAATATCGTTATGATTTTTATGTAAATACTATAGGGCATAAACACGAGCAAAAATAATACAAATTTAAATTTATAAAATGAATTAAATTAATACATAAATATTTTAACATGAACTTTAAGATCTTTCGGCTCATGCACTTACCCGTATAAGCGACTTGATTCCAAGACGCTTCCTCTGTGTTAGCAGCGTATACAAAATCAATGTGTTAGATTTTTTTGACAAGAATCTTATTTTAAAACCAAATATCTATAGTTATAATTTCTAAAAAACATCTTACCTGCCGTTTTGCCGAAATAGAGCTAGTATCTCTTCGAACGTTTTGTTTTTGGTCTCTGGCACTTTTTTATAAGTGAATATCCAGAATATTGCCAGCAATACGCTGAACGGTAGGAATGTATAATTATCCAATGCAGTCTAAAAAACAATTATGAATAAATATTATATAAATGAAAAGTATTAAATACAATTAAAATACTTTGAAATGTTGTTATTTTTAAATATTATAAATTAGCTGACCTTTAGAGGTTGGAAGCCTATGCCGACGGCGAAGTTGGCCACCCAATTTATGAGCACGGCGATGGACATAGCCGCAGGCCGAGGACCCTGGCTGAAGAGCTCCGCAGTAATCATCCAAGGTATTGAGCCTGGACCAACGGCGAAGAATACGACAAAACCAAGTATGGATACAACGGCCAAGTACGACATCCAGTCGATCATTTCCTGCACAAAACCGAAAAACTCCTAAGGGACGCTAGTAGTTGGTTCAACGTCCCTAGCCAATATTCTCAGTCATAATAAATCAAAAACAATAAATACTTTTAAATAATAAAAAATAATAATACATTAAAATAAAAAAATAAAATTGTGACTTTGAGAACTTTGGCTGGAACGATGTAATTGTAGGAAGAACAAAAATAATAAAAAGCTTAATTGCAAACATAAAATAACTGCTAATTTAGAAATAATATTTAAAATTAATGTATAACTATGTTACTTCGCTTATCTGATGAAGTAAAACAAGTAGAAAAAATAGTTTTAGACCCAATAAAATATTAACTAATAATAGGTACTATATAAGTGCAGCTAGTTGTGAAATACCTACAAAGAATGCATTTAAATAAAATATGTAATAAATGTTTAACCTCATTCAACAGAAATAATTTGTTTTTATGATTGATAAGTTAATTACCTATACATACTCTGTCCAGAAACCCGTGTCAAACATCATAGCTCAACGAAAATCGGGTTTTCTACGCATCCCTACACAGAACCCCACCAATTACGATGGTAGAGTGTTAAAGGGGGTGTGAAAAATTAGCGTGTTCTTTCGTTGGACAGAGTATAGATTCCATACTGATACATTATCAGCAATAATATTAAATATAATATATAATACAATTTGTATATTTTAAAAACTAACATTTTTTATTTAAAATATTTTTATAAACTTCAAAATGAATGAAATAAGATATAGTTCTCTCTTTTATTTACTCTCTATGTATTTTTTAAAATATTTATATAGTTCAAATGTAATAACGTAGGTATAAAGTATTAAGTATTAATGTTCTTCGAATATTTTGATATTTATTATTATGATTGATCTATTACGGAACAATTTTTATTCATTAGAAATTAGAATATGTATCAACTTATAAGCTATAGTCAGAATAAGGTAAAAACCATATTATTTGTGTATTTTAAGCATACCATAAAAAAATATATAAGTGTTAGTATTATAAACATTTTAAATTGATTTAGTTTAGAAATATAACTTGAAATTTCACTAAAAAACAAAGTAAATTTAAATAAGTTACATAATAAGCAGCAACAAAATAAAAAATTATGCATGCCTTAATCTAATTAAAATTAAGTATTGACTATTCAGTATACTCGTCATGTTGATTATTATATTTATATTTTTAGATACATGTATAGAAGTATTAAGCATATAATACGACATATTTAATTAGAAATTCATTAAAATAATAATAGTTATGTTATTTTATAATGAATTTCAATAGTATTTTGAATAAAATCATATATGAATAAATTATAATTTATATTTCATAGATGTATACGCTGACTATAAACTAATTGTACATTGATTTATGATTATTTACATAATTTTTTTAGTAAATATTTCAATAATTGAAATCTGAATTCAGTTAAATTTTGATTTAATCAACGTTTTACTAGACGTTGGAGTTTTGAAAATGTTTTATGATAATTATTATATAATTTATAATTTATTCAATAATCTAAACATTTAAAAATATCTAAAACTTAAAGCTTAAGGAGTAAATGTTAATTAATTAGTTATTGCTTAACAATGTGGACGGAATTTCTGGTACATAAATTAATCTCCAAATCTCCAATATTCTCATCTTCCTTTCATATTATAGGTACCTTTATTTATATTTTTATATATTATAAGTAGAGATGTTTCCATAAAATTTGTTGAGGGTAAACTCAGCAAAATGTTAATAATTTCAATTGAAAACTTTAGGGTGTTAAAAAAAAAGGTTTTCCATGTACCATAACAAGACGTAATTTCCAAAATAATAATAATTTTGTAATAAAAATAAATTTGGTATATTTAATATAATAACGTCATTAGCAAAATATTGGATAAGTATTTTTATAATTATTATTATCGGTAATTGCCAAACACGATTCTCTCACTCATTACAAAACCGATAACTTATTTTTCGCAAATTTATCGAGATTCAAGAGTATATGCAGTATACCCTATGGAAAAATCACTGATTATTAGTTTGCTTTATTCCAGATCTCACTGAATACATTTCTCATAAAATTTAATATGTGCTCTTTATAACTTACCGTGATTAACAATGATATCGTAATGAATATCGAGAATATAAACATTCCACCCAGACCGTATAAATGTAATGTTCTTCGACCAGTTTTATCCATCAATGGCATGGTCACTAGCGTCATATTCACCATAATTATACCAATCCCTATTGTTACAAATTTAGCTACATTCTCAGCCAAACCAGCAGTTATGAACAGACTAGTTGAATAGTAAAATACCTAGACATAAATATATTGTAAATTAATATATATCTTTTTTAAGAGACAAAAACATTTTAAATGTTATACAAAACAATACTCACGGCATTTATGCCAGACAACTGTTGCGACAACTGCATGACTACACTAATGATAAGTGGTTGTCTTAGAGTGGGCGAGCATACTAATTCCATCATGGATATCGTAGCTTCCGACTGTTGAGCACGTTCTTCAGCACGCATTTCTTCAATGTCTTCTTCGATCTGATTAGTTGCACGTAACCTCCGCAGAGCTAAAAGAAACATAGGTTATTTTAAATTATTTTTATAATAACTAAAAGATTAATTTTTAAAAGTTAATAATAATTTACAGAAATATTGATTATTTAGTTTTATAATTATAAATATACGTTATAAATGTTTTTTTAGCATTATATAATTAGAAATATAGTTGATTTAGAAGTTAAAGTATATAATTTAATTCAATTTTTATCGTAGAAAAAAAAAATATCAGATATCGCGATTATTTGATTAGTTCATTAACAACTTTATTAAATAAATATGGTTATTAACACCATATTATTATTCGAACTTGTCATTTTATATTTAAATTCAATTATGAATATGTTTTAAGCTGGGATATAAGTTTTTATAATCATAACATGAAAGGTATGCCTCTCCGCATTCTTTTTTCATCACTTAATTATAATTTTTTTATAGTATCTTAGTTGGGATCAAGGGATTCTTAATTCTTGAAAGTGTTCTAATACGTAATGATCATCAAAATTCAAAAATCATACATTAATCTATTATTATAAAACAAAATAGGTACATAAATGGTTTTTAAAATAAATAAAATAAATTAATAAGTAAGCAATAGTAAAATTATTTTTATATTTATACTAATAATAATTAATATAAAGGTTTTTTTTTATTGGTATTTTTTAATAAAACGTCTTCAAATATATTAAATTTGGAATTAAAATGTTCTCGTAATGCCATTAATAATAAGTATAAGTTATTAAAAAAAATAATGTCGTGATGAGCCTTTGGACCTCACCTCTTCCATACACAGGGATGGGAAACTCAAAATTACTAGAGGGTCAATTTTTAGAAAATTAAAATCTAGCGACTAGAACGTAGAAATCAAAAAAAAAAAAGAAAGGCCATTCAAAATATGCATTTAAATTAGTATTTATTTTGTTTAAAATGTGAAATTTTAACTTTAAAATTGTATGATGTAATTTGAAAATGTAGCATAGGCCGCTAGTTGCCGCGACTCCTACCTATAAACATTGGGATAAATATAGTAGATTAAACTTATAAACATTTAGAAATGTTAAATTTAAATTGGCTGAGATGGAAAACATTATATCTCTATGGATTATAAATTTCAAGTTATATAGTAACAGCTTTTAATATAAGTCTTGAACTTTTATACAGCTTTTTGGTATTTAATCACCTTTTCTTGCTTCTTCTTCCCATTGTTTGGTTATCAATAGATACCTTGGCGATTCAGGACATACAGGTAGTAAAATTAATTGTAAAATGGCAGGGCATATAGCTAATCCTAGAAGTAAAAAAGAAATATGAATAATGTTAAAAATATAATTGAATAAATTTATATTGTATAATAAATATCCCACCTAATAATAAAGGCCAGCCTTCGTCTGTACCCAAAATTTGTTCTACTCCCAATATCTGGGATATGAGCAGTCCAGCGGTTACGGCTAACTGATTGACAGTGCCGAGGCCACCTCGTAGGTTGAGCGGCGCTATTTCTGATATATACATTGGCACTAGTGATGTATTCAAACCTGTAAATAAAAAGGTTAAAATAGATGATAACATTTTCATTATAATAATATACTACGTATAATAAATATTTAATTATGTTTTTCATACCACAATTGACTCCTATAATGAATCGGCCAATAAATAGCACTTCATAGGAATTGAAGTACTTGGTGAGACCCATTAAACAAGCGCCACCAATGCCAACAAAACTATTAAGCAGTAAACCTCCTTTTCTATAATCAGTATGAAAATGTTATGTAAGTAATACTATAATAAAATACAAACGGTAAAAATAAAATGACAAGCTTCAATCATTAAAGTAAAATTAATATTATTTGTTTTTGTATATTTAGTTGGATAGATATTTAAATAAAACAAATACTTAATTAATTTATAATTTATATAAATTTATATTTGATGTAAAAGTACATAATATAATAAACGAAAAAATGCTTTCATTTTTGAAATAATTAAATTATTACCAACAATGCTGCATTAAATTAGATAAAATCAAGCTTTTAAATTATTATTTAACTACTATATATTATGAAAACATATATTATAATATGGATTTTACAATTATTATAATTTAGAACTATTTGTAAATAAGTAAAATTATTTTCTATTATATTATGAAATTCTAGTCATACATATTATTTATTTTTTTTGTTGTATTGAATTAGAGGCCATTTAATAATCTGTTGTCCTTGGAGAAGAATTGACAGCATAGTAGGTATATAATTGAATCTTATTTATTGTTTCCATTTCTAATATAAAAAACGTCATGGACACTTGTGTGTCAAAAACACGGTATAGAATATAATATTATTATTTATCAAATCAAGATTATAATTAGTTCTATTGAACATTAAAAATTATTATCATTTTATTCTTTACTAAATAGTATGTTTAGTCTTAAGAGTTAATTGTTTTAAATTAATTCCATATTATCATATTATTAAAATATAAAACACTTTAATTAAAGGAATTTATAAATTATAGTTAATACAATACGTTGTGATTTTTAGAGCTTATTGTAAACTAAATGATAAAAACCTTTAGCGAAATTTACATTATGGGCATTATTAAATGTTATTAAGTTCCTTGATAATGATTTAAATTTTAAATTTTACCATAAAAATGAAATGTTATTCACAAGTTTTAGATATTAAAAATATCCATTCTATTATATACAACGGCTTTTTTTAAATCATGTAACCCTTTTTTTAAATTCTAAATAATACTGTATTTTAATAAATTTAAAATTTAACTTTTTACATAAATGAAACTTATTTATATTTATTTACACAACGAAAATTATACATTTTATAAATTAATGTTGTATAGAACCGTTAATTAATTTTAACCAATAGCACACCATTTTAACATGTGAATTATTTTTAAATAGTAACGTATGCAGGTTTATTAACTAAGCGTATTACAATTATTTAATGTACAGCAAATCAATGATAAATAAACCACTATGATATAAAATATGTTTGTAATTGAATATTTAGTTAATATCATGCAAAAATTATAAACCAAGACATTTTTATGTTTTTTGTTATTATATATAATATATGTATAGATGTGTTTGTATTCATATTATTATTTTATACTTACATTTGATTAAAAAATTTAATTTATGTAAAAAAAATTATTAAAATGTAAATAAAATTCAAATTATGTTTAAATTACGATCACTGATTACTGATTAGTATAGGTACATGAATACTTGTACCTATGTAACTGAGATCGTTTTATTTTTATTATTGTGAATTGCGTAAGTATTCTAAAAGTTTTTTAGTATAACATGAGGTATTATACGTTGCATTTGAAACATTTTAAAATAATTATAAAGTTTAGTTTTCTTCCTAATCATTTAAAACAATAAAAGATTACGCAAAGATTATAGACTGACCTGCCAAAACGGTTGGCAATGATGCCGCCACTGAAGCCACCTAACATGCCACCGATGGCGAAAATGGATACAGCAAACGAGTAGAGTAACTCAGCTTGTGCGTGGTCCATACTTCTTTTATACCGATCTTCAAATACATCTTTGATGAACTTCTCTATGTTCTAAAAGTGTAAATAGGTCAATTAGAATTATTCATCATAACATAAATAATAAAATTGTATTTACCCCTTCAGGTGCATTTATCACTCCGGTATTGTAACCGAACTGAAGCATGCCTAACATCGACGCCAAGATTGTGTAGGATAAAAAGAACGTAAGCCCCTAAAAATTAAATAAAACAATAAGTCACATAAAAATTAAAAATAATTTTGCTACGAAATTTCAACGATTAAACTTTAATTTATTTTTTTAATAAACGGCAATATGTTCTAAATAAAATTGACATGCTATAAAATAAAAATAATGGTCCTTAAAAATTAAATAAAACAATAAGTCTCAAACAAAAATAAAATTGTTTTATTACGAAATTTTAATGATTTAATTCAAATTATCTTTTTCATTAAAAAACAATATATTTTAAATACATTTGGCCTACTATAAAATAAACTAACGCACAAAATATTAATGGCTACTTTAAGGCATAAATCCGAGCAAGTACGTACTTAGTTTCATTTTGTGCAAATATTAAAACTGAATTATTATCAATACTATTTTAAACGTTTTTGTTAATACGATTCACTCAAAATATTACGATTTATGAAATATAATAATCAAAACAACTAGATATCTAATTAATACATAAACATCATTATGAACATTTTTTTTTCAATTATATACTTAAAAATTAATATGTTTAATTAATTTTTAACAAAACACAAAATAACCATTACAAATACACATGCACTAAGACTCTAAAATAAAAATTATATTTTGTTTAAATAAAGTTGTGTAGGTTTAAAGTCATATATTTTTAGTTGATTAAAAACACGAAGGTATATATTTATTCTCTCCGTTATAACTTAAATATCAATACTTCAAACATGACAATTATTATTGTTAATTATAACTTTAATGATTGTAATAATATTTTTATGGTAAGAAAATATTTTTTAACCATTATAATATAAGCAATTGCGTTTTTACAATAATGATAAACAATAATATATTAATATCATATTTATACCAAAATAGGTAACTTATATTTTTATACTTACATATACACTATCACATTTATCACATTTATTGAAGTAAGGTTATTAATTTATAGTATTAAATATTAAAGAATGCAATCTCAAAGTATAAATTAAAAGGTTTACTGGTATTATAGTTATTATTTTAATTTGCGATTAAAAAAAAGTTTTGTATTTGTTTTATAGAAGAAAAGTAAAATATTTTAATTTCTGACTCTGGAGTCTTTTAAGGAATACTCAAAGCGAGCATATTTTTTAGTTTTTGCGTTTAATACACCTCTAAGGTACTTATTTGTTATCGCGACTACCTTTTTTTATGCGGCGTAAATCCCAGTTTTGCATTGCAAAACTTTAATGAACTACACGTTTAACAAACTACACTACACTATAAAAAGTATTGACAATATGAAAAATACTTAAACGACAGTGGTGTTAGCAAGTGTGTTGGAAAATAACAAATAGTATCAAGCATGCCCCATTAAAAATAAAACGTCATGTAGGTACTCATATTACTTATCTAAAAGAAATGCCCACAAATACTAATAAAAATCCACCACTCAATATCTTTAACGTCTCGTTACTGCAGTAACAATAACTGAATTATTTATTTATTACCGAACAGTAGTTATTTGGTTGAATTCGTGTAGTCAAAAGCATGATAATCAATTTATAGGTATTTTAAATTGCATAGTTGAACATTTTTCTCCTTGAGTTAATTATTAGTTTCTAATTTTGCATTTTATTCCTAATTTTTATAATAGTTTTAATATTTTTTTTTTTAAATTACGCCGCGTAATAACTGATAAGTACCCTTCTTCATTTTTAATTTTAGTTTGCTAGTGAATAAAGATAAAAGTTTCATGATTACAAAATGTATAATTTTTTGGCGATCCATCAAAGAAAATCAGGGAAAATTAATTTCAAGTGTCCCTTATTGGATCATCTCGACCGTGAAAGATTGATGTTAGTATCTATACTAATACTTCATTATCTAACTATATAATCATATAATGGGTACACCATGAAGACGAAAATTGTTTCCATGTCCATACTATTGCTTTATAGAATTAAAATAATTGAAATAAGAAAACAAATCAATGATACGAAATAAAATGATATTTAAATATTAAATTATATAAAATTACTGTTCAGATTATAACAAAAACATTTTTAATGTTATTGATACTTATGATTACATAACACATTGTTTGTAAAAATGTAAGTAAATGCCTTATACTAAATAAAATATTATTAAATTAATAACAATATATAATATGAATTTTAAGGAATATTTCATTGTACATATAACAATAATAATCGCAGTTATAAATAGTATATTATATTATATATAATTCATTCAGTATGTGAAAAAAAAGTTTTGTATTTTGCATTAACTAAAATAATTTTTAATTTTTGTTTTAAATAATTTATAAATGTACGATAAAATTTGGAAAGCGCTAGTTAAACATATTATTATTAATTATTATGTTAATTTACATATACTGGTCCTGGAAAATAGCGAGGAAAATTAATTAAAAAACTTTAACTTGATTTTCTTTTTGGTTCGCTTTCTGTTCTGAAAAATTCAAGGAACATTCGAAGTGCAAGGTAAACAATAATTTTATTATGATACAACGAGTTAATTAATGATATGGGAAATGAGCAAAATATCACATCATACTAATTTTTTCTCTGTTTATATAATGGTTCGCGATTTAGCGTGGTTTTGTAAAATTAAATAGTTTACGAACTTGGATTAATTATGTAAAGGTAAAGGAAGTTTTTTCTTTTGCACAAATAGGTCATATTAAGATAATAATAATAATTAAAACACGAGATCAAAAGGCTTAAAATATCATGTAGAGGGTATACTGGCTTGTATAACAATTTTAAATTAAAAAAAGTCAAGGTTATAATAGCTAATATATTAATTATTTATTTGTAGCTACTAAGAGTAGTGTCATGAAATTATTCTTATTTATCGATACATGTATTATACGTTCGGTTATACACTTTTACCGTAATTTTTATAGAAATAAAAATAAAATATAATTATTTACCATAATTTAACTGTACACGAACAATGCATTTTTAAATATAAAATTTGTTTAAAAAAATTTGTAAAACTAATACGTGAATACAGAATGTGTCAAGATAAAACAACAACAAATACCAGGTGTTTGACGTAGAAAATAGGTTTGCTATCAAACGTACAATTGTTTAATTTTTATGCTGAAAGCGATTTAAATATTTAGTTTATATTATATACTGAAGCTATAATAAAAACATGCAAAATTCAAATTCGCAAACTTCTAAGTTTAGATATATACCTATACAAATTTATTTATAGTCTATAGTTTCTGTTAAATACTTATATAATATTATTGTAATCAATCATAGAAGATTGTTGCTGCCCGCAGATTATAGATACGTATAATATTATATAATGAAACGAAAGAGTACATAATATTTTGTTAAAATTGATTAATCAGCAATATGGGTAAAGGGAAAAATAAAATAAAGCATGTTTCAAATAAATACAAAATATAACGTATTATATAAATTATGAATTTGCTTGAATAAATCAATTTTAAACCTTCACACCCAAAAATCATCATTATGTTTAAAATAAGTGTATTAAGGTATATTATGTTTATAATATGCTATATGGTATTAAATATGTATACCAATTACGTTATATTTTGTATCAGAAAATAAAAATAAAAAATGTATTTGAAATATTTATGACTGCCCGATCCTGAAATTGGGTATACCTATTTTGTTACTTATTAGTACCTATCTATTTAATATATGCAGTATACAATGACACGTATCCCTTTACCAATGTTATTAAATTAAATGGAATATATGTGATGGTGCTTGATAATGAGTTTATAAATAAGGGGGGGGGTGTGGTGATATAAAAGCTATAATAATTAATATTTATTTATTACCATCTTATGATGTGTAAAAATTGTTAAAACATAATAAAAATTGGATAAAATATAATACATACATTTTATGTGTCATAAAATTATTTTTAAGGGCTGTTACTCTGTAAACTTTTTATTGTAATATACATTTTATAACTCAGAAATTTTTATTTCAAATTTAAATTTAGATAAATAAAAATTTTCAAAATAAAATATAAGATTAATAATTTAAAATATAAAAATTGGTTTTATTTTATAAACAAAGTATCCATCATCATAGGATATTTCTTAAATGGTATATAAACTTAAGCATATGAAAATATGGTTCTTAAATATTCCAAAAATCAGAATTTGAATAAATTAATTATTAAAAGAAGAATGGGGATGAACATTCTTGGTGATCACTCTGTATAATAGATATTATATTAGTGCGTTGGTCACGCACTACGAGATTGTTTCCAAAGGATTACGAAACCGAACGCGATTTTTGTTTTTGTTTGTCACTAATCTTGCATTCAGCTTGTATAGGATATTTATAAATATATATAATATAATACTGTATGGTGGTGAACACGGTGCGCATATTATATACCTTCAATTATTAAAAAGACCCTTTTACTCGGTGGGTTGTATGCACTGATTACACATTATACAGGACCAATCTATTTAATTATTTATTTTTTTTTTTTGATTATTTTTTGTAGCAGAATTATTTAGGTATCAATTTTATTATTATTGTTATTTCTATATTTTGTGTATTTCTAAATAATCAAGTATTAATAATTGTAAGAAATATCTAATAAGCATAATAACTCATTTATTAAAAAACATTAATTTATCTTTAATGAGCAAAAGAATTCAGTACTATTCATATCCATCATGATTTATAAAAATGCTTCACGATAAAATATCCAAATTTTATAAAAACCCTGGAATCTATCATATTGTATACGAATTTATAAGAAAATATTCAAAGAGCTGTGTTAATATAATATTTTGAATATGTCCTCGAATCGTGATTCGTAACTTTCTGGTGGGTTAGTTAAAAAAAAAATACTTATAAATTATCTATACATTATATATGTGTAGGTAATTTTAGATATTCTTTAGGTATATTATTACATATCTGTATGACACATTGTATACAACCGTACCCATACTCGTATAACACTGCATGATACTAGTGCACACATTTTAGCCATATATATATATATAATTGTACGTCAGGGACGTGATCGGGGAGGATGAGCCTGTCATATCCATTCCCCTTTAGTTATTTTTTGTCAATTGACTTTTTATAATTTATTGTTAAAATAAAAATTCTAGTTTTCAACTTTATTTTTTGTGAATTTTAATTTTTTTTTAAATATTTTTGTTATCCATTGCAATTTTCACCAATATGTCACTAATAATTAATAAGTAATGATATACACAATATATAAATTCCCCTGAAACACGGTTAATAATACATTATTAGAATTGACTATAACACCAAGTAAAACAGTAAATGAAAGAATGTATGTATTTTTTGTTATAAAAAAGTCTGAGAATAGTCAAAAATGCATATATCCTTTTCCTCTTTCGAAAAAGGTAAGCACACCATTGCTTATACATACATGCAATAACATTAACTATAATATTTAACCGCATATCATTATAACACTACTGGCGTATGTGGATAAGCACAAAGTTAGAGTAGGTATCTACGGACACTAAGGACTACTAAAATAAAAAAATAAAAAAAATAACGGTACTGCATACACAAACATCATTGTAACACATTGTAGGGGATTTTGCGGGCGCATGATGAACGCGTAGCATGCAATATTCGTGACGCGCGCCCGAGGGGTTGTAGTGGGGGGGGGATGCATGGAATTTGGGGTTGAACGATCTGAACAGAGGGGCTGTCAAAAAGGACCTGTTCGAGCAGCCTGAGCTTCCTGCGGTGCGACTGCAGCTCCAGACGGTCCACGTACTCCCTGAGCTCCTCGATCTCCTCCTTGACCTGTTGCACCGTGTCCAGTTCGTTCTTGATGGCCACCATGTCGCGCTTCACCTCGGTCACCTCCGATTGGCACGACTCCAGCGACCTGGTGAGCTCGTGCAGCTGTGTCCGGATCTCGGACAACGCGACACTGGTCTCCACGTGGCCACGGTGTTCGGTGCCATAGTAGGCGACGGCCGGGCTCGGTGACACGCCACGCGACTGCAGCTCGTCCAGCCGTGTCGTCAGGTTGGCGCTCATGTCCGTCACCTGGTGTTGCAAGCTGCGCAAACCATCCACCATGTATGAGCTATACACACATAAGAAGGGCACGTGCACATCGTTATCCGATACTGACATTGGAACAAGCGGTACAGCCAACGCATTATTATAATATATATATATACATATATATATAATATTATGCAATAATATATATTTATATGCGCACGCTACTTATATATTTTGAGATTATACGCGGGTATGATTATGTAGTGTTCGGAAACGACATGTTCATTGCGTCCACGCTTTTTATATTTCACATGTATTTTTAGTGAATTTTGGAGTTTAAATTGTGGTTTATCGGGTATGTCTATAACGATTACGTTTATTATATTTTGATTTTGCTAAAAAAGAATGCGACGTGAACAGTGAATAATCAAACATATAATACGTTCATTTTATTTTGTGAACGTTCCGAACACTGCATGGAGCACTACATAATATAGTCTATTATATTATACAATAAATAATAATATATTTATATAGGCTAGGTTCCTATAGGTCAATTAGGTTACCCACATTCTCCTGTATTATAAAGAAATTAGAAAACAGTTCTACGAACTATTATTATCTATTTCCGATTTTACGTGTTTATTACTATATGATTATACTAAATAGATAGTATGATGGAAACTGCAAGGTTTAATAATGTGTGTGTATATTATATTTATATATACATATAAAGATACAATGAATTATTATTTTGCAATACTTTTCAGTATCATATATACGCATAAATAATAAGCATTATCATCTACGATTTATCATTAAGAATACGTTGAACGGAAATTCTACCGATAATTTTTGGTCAGACGATATTTTACCGCGCTTGTATAAGTACATAATATAAAATGAATTCAATATACGATAGTTAAATAACTGGTTATTAATTTCAATTTTTTAATAATCACCGAATAATGTCCACTATATAATGTTAACCAATTTTTGAACAATTAACATTTACCTAATTAGGTACTATATCCTAGGTAAATATGTTTATACATGGGATCTCTACTATGAACAGTGACCCATGAATATTGTCCTAATCTCTTTTTGAGCTTACTATTGTAGTTGCACGTGGTTAAAGTTTATGCTAACCATAAATTTTTAACTCTGAACTAACCATTATATTATACTTGAACAACAATTTGTATTTAACATGTTAATGTATTAATTACAAACTATCTGACACCTGTAGATGTTTAATTCAATGGCATTGGTATACAAAATATATTCGATTCTTCTTGAAACACAAGTAAAATTTTCAAACTGAATTAGGTAGTTTATAAAAAAAAATTTTAACGACTTGAATAATATGGCAATATTTTGCACATGATAATTATTATTATAGAATACGAATATCTTACAATGCATATCTGTCACGTAAGTACTTTGTCTATTTTATTATAATCACATTTCACATTTTATTCTTTATTATTTGTTTTATACACTATATAACTACTCTAATATAGGGTAATATTTTAATTTAAGATAAATCAACTTAAAATTCAAGTAAATATCAAAATATATAAAAAATATATAAAATTATTCAAAATATTTATGCGTCATATCATTTTTGACGATTGCTTTTATAGAAAAATATATAATTTCATTTTTATTTAATTCTTTTAGTTAACAATATTATAAACAGTTATATTAAACCATACATTTATAGATAACACGTATTTTGATTCATGTATTATTAATAAATAAATTAGATTTTTAAAAAATGTTTGGAGCTTTTAATGTATTTGTATTATTTACATAAATATTAAGATATTCATTGTCATATAATATACTGTATTTTAATAAAAATATAGCGAAATAAATTAGAAAAATGTCATTTTCATGAAATAAAAATAGTGGAATGATTTTTTTATAATTATTTATTCATATTATTTGATTTGTTAATATGAACAAAAAAAAAAAATGAACTTATATATTCATAAATATTATTAATAATGTTAACAGCTAAATAAATTCGAAAAAAAAAATTAAAATTAACAATTTTAAATGATTTATTTGTGATAATATTTATTATAATTTATAATATATTGTGGACTGTGGAATTAAAAGTGTAGGCAAAACTCAATCAAATATGCTGCGGTGTACATCTCAATTATTAATATGGTTAAAATAATCTATAATTATAGCTTTACGCATAGTATAATAATAGTATAGCTGCAGCCTGCAGTAAGAATCTCTTAAAATTATACGAACGAATCGAATGGTGCAAGTATACGTACGATCATTATATAAATACATCGTCATGTGTCGGCGATTCAATTTAAGTTCCCACACTGCTGCCATTGCCATACATACCTATTATTCAGAGTTCAAACATAGACATTATATGTATATATATTATTTAACATTGCGCAATGCACATATTTATGATATACTTATATACATATATATTATAACGAATGCGATATGTATACAATTAATATTGTTTCGTATGTACTGCACATAAGAAGCACATTTTCTGCTCATAATATACATATACAGCATCCAATAAATATATATATATATATTAATCGTATATTCCACGAGCAAACAGCAGACATTACCGGACGCAAACCATGTAGAAGTAATCCTGTATAATATATGTAAACGTAAAATACATACACACACAGTATAAGGCAAGACCACAAAAGAGAACGCTCGAAATCACATCAGGAGTGCGTATGAAACACACATACAGAGTTATGGAGATGGATATAATTTATATACTGCGTGTGACGCGATGTTGATGCGTGTGCGTGTGGGTGTGTGTGTCAATTCTTCCATTAAATACTTTAGTGCATCATATCATACATATAGCGATACATTTAAAAGTGTCTACACTCTTTGTTTCAAGAAGTTTTAGCTTTTTTAGAAATATTTTTTTTTAAAAATTCGATGTCACAGCTAAAAATCAGATGTATTTTCGAAAAAAAAAATGATATATTTACAATTATTTTTTTATTGTTATTCTTATTGATTTTTGAACGTCAACATACATTTTTAATTTCACATTTCAAAACAGAACATCTTTTACAGTATTTCAATACATAAAAATTAAACTTCGAACGAATAGGTACAGTAAATTAGTAATCATCAATGGTTATGGAAGAGACTATTCTGAATTTAAAAAAATCGTATCTGCCGTATATATACATAAACTGAATATGAAAACTAAAAAAAAATATACGTTATTATTTGAAATTATGAATGTATAGATATTTAAACGGACCACCTTATCGACCCTGCGTCTCCATAAACTTATTACAACCTATATATAATCTATTTTTTTGATATGTTTAATTTTGTTGTAAATTTGGCCTATACACACACAATGTATACCTACGCGCCCTCGTCTGCCTCTGGCTGTCAACGGTTAAAGCCGATCGGTCAGTACAGCATATTAATATACTATACGTGTACATAACACTGCGTAGTCGGCTCCTTTCATTAGTCATTACGTGTCCGAATTATAGCATTTATTATTGATTTAACAACTTATGAGTTACGACTTAAAGATACGAGTATACCTCTTAATCTTACCGATTTTAAATTATGCCAATGTCGAGAGAGTATTCAAGCAAAACTGCAAAAAGAAAATTGAAAATAAAAACAAAAAAATGATTAGATCAATGGACCAATTTTTAAAAAAAAACTGGTAAGTAGGTAAATTATAGACAAATGAAGACATGAAAATTAATAAAGAATTTCTTAAGACTTTTAATAGCACAAGATTAACTGACCAATAAAGCTATACTAAATGCTGAATAATGCCGTATAATAATGCTGAATATCTGATATAAATTTAAACAAGGCTATAAATAACTTCTCTAATTTAAAAGCAAGATAAATTAATTTTATTTAATTTTATTTATGAACATTATGATTCATAGACAATGATCTGGGAGAAACTATTTTGATATTTTATATATATATTATATGAATATGGTAGGTACACATTAAATTTTATTTTGATTATCATTTATCAGTATTAAGTAGATTTGATTAACTGATATTTTATTAATTATCTACATATTTATTTTTATAAATTTTTTTATAATTTTAAATAATGTTTTATAATAATTATATATTTAAATATAAATCTGATATTTACGTTTTGCAATATTTTATTTATAACCATATTTTAACATAATATACCGAGTATTTAATTAATATTTGTAATAAAATTAAATAAATAATAGAGTAGTTATATTTTAATAATAAATAATAATATACATGATGGTCACGGACGCACACTAATTGTCTCCCGAAGTCAAAAAGGCCCATAATTTTTATACGAATTGCTTCCCGGCTATATATCTACGAGTTGTCTCTCGACGTATCCTACATTTTATCATAAACGAAAAGAGTCTAGTACTAGTTGCCTCCCATTAGTCAGGTAATAAATATAGAAGTGATTCTAAACATTTTCAATTATCATGTATCAAAATAAGTTTGTAATTTCAAAGTCGTAATTTATATTTTTGTTATATTTTATATTTGATACGATTATATTATCTATACGACTAACCATTATGATAATATATTCTTTTGTGTAATGATAAGATATAATACAAACCAGACCTGAGCCATGCTCAATTATTATAATAAATAATATGCGTGATCGAGTAATGTTTATAGTTGATTTGCAACACTTGTTCTGGTTGTACGATATTATTTTTACAAATATTTTTAGAAACGTTTTTAGAATGAATCAATGTGAAGTGCGAAATATACTTAGTGAAAAGGGCAAATGTGTTAAATTAATTAAAAGTTTTAAATTTAGTTTTCAAAAAAAATTAGCCTCCAACAAAGAACGGCGGAACTGTACGATAAAAACAACATTATTCTATATATTATACCTAAGACTGATGTTTTTTAACATGCACTATATGTATATTTTTAATACGTAGTATACTATGTTTTATTTTTATTGATTATTTTTATATTGTTATTGTTTTTAACCAAGTCTAATATTTTTAATAATGAATAAACATTACCTATTTATGTGGAACTGTTTAATGA